TGGGTTACCATAATAAAAGGATTAAACCTAGTATAAGGATAGTATTGTTATTCCGAGGTTATTCCATGTTTATTAATAGGAATTCAATTCTGAAGTTAATACTTTGTTAGTCCGGGATTAGCTAGTCCAAGACTATCCTGTGAATAAGTTTGGAATAGGAGATTTTTATTAATAAGACCGTAAGAGGTTAATAAAGGGTAAGATTAACAGATGTTCTGGCAGCATGACTGACCTGACTATACCCACTTGCTTTCTACAGTCATTCGTATGTAGTCGCTTTCCAAGAAGAATGGAACACGGATTTACCTATACCTATAGAAACAGGAATAAAGTAAGAACTACCGAGGCAAGCAACTTTACTGTTTAAAGTCTAAAGCTTTTTTTAATATTTTTTTTTATATTTGATGGCAGTAATAAAATAGTTAATGAAGTTGACAACGCGAAATTCCTGGTTGTAATCATTGACAGAAAACTAAATTGGAAAGCACACACAGAATTCCTAATAAAAAAAAGTAAATCTTGTTATGCAATTTATAAATTAATTCCAGTGCTCAACATTGACGCCCTCCTTACAGCATGGTTTCGTTTCATCCAATCTAAGATATGGCATTATATTTTGGGGGAATTCTACTAATAAAGAATTAGTATTCAAAGCCCAAAAGCGTTGCTCGAGAACCAAGTTTAAGTTAAAGGTCACGGACAGCTGCAAGCATTTTTTCATAAAATATAAAATATTGACTGTACCCTCTCTTTATATTTTAGAAAGCGCAATGTTTATTAAGAGCATTCTAACCCTGTTTCCACGTCTAAGTGATACGGTTGTCCGTAATAGACGTAATAATAACAAAATTAGATTAATTTATTCAAAAACTAGCTTAATGAATAACAGTATATATATTGCATAGGCCTAAAAATTTACAATAAAATTCCTAACCTCTGGAAAGAATACAACACAAACATATACAAATATAAATTAAAGGAGTTTCTCACCAATAAAGTCTATTATAGCATTAAGGATTTTCTACAGGACCACATAGACTACTAACTATCATTAGCAAATCACATTTTATTTTTCAATATTGTTTGACATTTAATTTTAAAGACATATCATTCTTAGCTTTAATTAACATATTAATTTTATTATTTGACATACACATTTCGTAATTGACTAAAGACGGAATGGACATCATGGTTCTTGGGCTTGTTGTGGCTGCGTGCATGTATGACGGTCAATTATAATTAACTTAATTTGTTTGACATTGCTTGTGGGACATTAATAATTGATTACATATTACCTTTTTACAATACACATCTAATTTGACATTACATTTTTTGACTTCAATGATAATAATAATTTTAATTTCTTTGACATTACTGTATTCAGTTTAACAACATTACAATTAATTAAATTCAATGTACCTAATTTTATTATATAATTATTTTTATAACATATGTTTGCATGCCAAGTGAAGGCAAAATATGGAGAAACTGTAAATTTTGTTAATACCTATATTATGTACCCATGTTTGCAAATGATTAAATGAATTTGAATTTCAATTTGAATGGCCCGACGTTTGACCCCTATCTCGCCTGGTGGTATGCGATGATACGGTCTACGATGGAGCACGTCGTCCCATAAGCAACCTAGTTTGGGCTTTGGATCTGGTCTTTTTGAAGGACCCGGTGCTCTTATGGGTGCTGATGGTGGCTACTGGGGCAGGTTACTTTTTTATTAGGGTATCCTAAACGAGGGAGAAAGGCTAGGAAATCTTTCTCCCCAAAAGCTAAGGTCTAAATATCCTTGGTCATAAAAAGCTTTAAAAAAAATAGCTGTTTAATAAGGCTGCAGTGCAACGTGTAGCGGCGGGCGTAGCGGGTTCGATTCCGGCACGGAGCAACTCTGTGTGATCCACAAATTGTTGTTCCAGGTCTGGATGTCATGTGTATCCGGAATAGTAGGTATGTTTACTCACCCACGACAAAGGGAAACTGCTAGTGTGGGCAATGTTTTAATACTTAATAATAAAAGGAACGTTTTTACGATCACCATTATATCAAATTGATATTTATAAATGTGAAATTTCTTTGTTTGGGTATTTGTCCGTCAATCAAGCTGAAACTACAGAACGGATTTTGATGAAATTTGGTATAAAGGCAGGGTGATGGCATAGGCAGACTTAGGTATGATATGATTAATTTTATCTTGCTTAAATGCTCCTATGGGTTAAAACAGGAATCATATTCTACGCGGACGAAGTCGCGGGTTACAGCTAGGAAAAGAAATAAATATATATTCGGTAGCTAATCCACCATTTACTACATATAAAGTTTTCAACGTTCAGTTTCCTTGAACATGGTTTTACCTAAAGGTACCTTTAAGGTAGGTACCTAGGTACTTAGGTACCTACCTTAAAGGTACCTTTAGGGTACCTTATTACTTATTACAAGCGAGGATGCACCATTACGTTGAATTAAAATAAGTATCTTGAAGTGAATGTTGTAGGCCTTGTAGGTAGGTATATTATATTTCATGTAAGTTACTAGGTATGGTCTTCGCGCTCGATACTTGTTACTTTTAATATCTCCCTAATTAAGTAGATACACTGAAACACATGAATGAACATGGGTTAGATAGGTACTAAAGCAGCCCAAAGCAAAGTCTATCAAATCGATGAATCAAAAAAGTGTACCTATTATACTATGTAGAGAGGTTATTTACTGTTTTTCATAGTTTAACCCAGAGCCTAATAAATATATACTCATTGGGAACTTCAAACATCAAAAAGTCGAAACTAACAGAAAACAATATCAGATATCTAAATTCTGTATGTTTTTATCTCGGAACAATATGCTTTAGTTATTGTTCCGAGGTTTTTATGTTTTTTTTTTTTTTTTTTCTTCTATGGCAAGGTTTTTATGTTAGGTACGTACCTTAGAATTTGAACAGCGCGCGCATTTCTGATTCTTACTTGACAGTGCCACTTTTATGTTTGTCTATAGAACGGACACAGAATCGTAGGTAGCACCAGGGCTTTGTATACAGATCTATAATATGATCACAAATTGGCCAACAAAGGAAAGTGCTTAAAACTATTCAAAATTTTATTATTTTATATTAATTATTAAGTTTCCACGATTCAGTTAAAAATATATTTAGATTCTTGCGTAGATAATATATTATTTTTTCTAAATTCCATAGACTAAATCGATGCCACTAGAAAGAACGAAACCGCTAGTCGTAGGCTGAATGTAGCTGCGACCTTTGTGCTTGAAAAATTAAAAACCTTTTCTAGTGCACATTTAATCATAGCATATTCCTCATTCTTTCTTTCCTTTATATCTTGGGAAAAATGGCTGATAATAAATTATACGAGATTTTGGGAGTGTCTAGAAGTGCTAGTGATTCTGAAATAAAAAGAGTAAGTGTTCTTTTTCAAGTTTCTACAATAATCCGATCGCACATGTAATGTCATCTATTCATTGCATGATTTTTGTCCATTGTTCTATGCGTGGTGATTTTGATACATATCTTTATTTTTTTTTTCTTTCAGAGTTATCATAAATTGGCTAAGGAATTCCACCCAGACAAAAATCCTGCTGCAGGGGATAAATTCAAAGAAATTAGCTATGCCTATGAAGTCTTGTCTGACACGAAGAAAAGACAAGTTTATGACAAGTATGGCTTGAAAGGCTTACAAGAAGGTGGTCAGGGTGGTGGCTTTCCTCCCGATGATTTGTTTGGACACTTTTTCGGTGATATATTTGGCATGGGAGGCGGCAGCAGAGGTCGAGGCCCAGCTCGCGGGGAAGATACTATGCACCCACTTAAAGTTTCTTTGGAAGACATGTACATGGGAAAAACTACCAAGTTACAGCTAAGTAAAAATGTAATTTGCGGGCCTTGTAAGGGGATTGGTGGTAAGCCAGGATCTGTAGTGGTTTGCAAGGACTGTCACGGACAGGGTGTTAAAGTGTCTTATCAACAAATTGCACCACACATGACTCGTCAATTTCAGTCTCGTTGCCCTACCTGCCATGGTCAGGGTGAAACCATTAATGATAAAGATAAGTGCCCAAAATGCAAAGGTAAGAAAGTTTTAAATGAAACTAAAATCTTGGAGGTGCATATTGAGAAAGGTATGCGTGAGAACCAAAAGATTTTCTTCAGAGGTGAGGGGGATCAGCAGCCTGACACTCAACCTGGTGATGTGATCATTGTGCTGCAACAGAAGCCTCATGATATCTTCCAGAGAACTGGTGATGATCTTGTGATCAAACATGAAATTACACTAACTGAAGCTTTATGTGGCTTCGAGTTTGTTATTAAGCATTTAGATGGCCGAGATCTACTGGTTAGACATGCTCCAGGAGAAGTAATCAAGCCAGGAGACCTAAAGGGTATACAGGGTGAAGGTATGCCTCAATTTAAAAATCCATTTGAGAAAGGTAACCTTTATATTAAGTTTGATGTTGTTTTCCCTGAAAATAACTTTGCTACTGAAGAGCAGATGAAACAAATAGAATCTGTGTTGCCTCCTCGCCCGGCCTTTGTAATGCCCACTGGAGAAGATGTGGAGGAGGTTAATTTGATGGAGTATACAGCCAGTGAACGTGGTAGAGGTCGAGAGGAAGCATATGCCAGTGATGATGAAGAGCACATGCACACTGGCCCTGGAGTACAGTGTGCACACCAGTAGTTCAATTGTCCACAATTATGGATTCTTACTCAAACCTCACACTATATAATTTTATCATAGGTTATATGTAAATTAAACTAAGTAGGTATACACTGTAACTGTTATACTTAGTTCACAGAATGCTAGAAATATTTGACTATTGCGTGCAGTGTATTGACTTGTTTGGAGTTAACTGTATTCCTGTGCCTCTAATAAAAATTTGTTGCAGAATTTAAATAAAGTATTGTAAGCTTACATCACTGTAATTGTTTTGTGGGTCTGTCTCTAATAATGTACTGTAAAAAGGTGCAGTTAATTTGTTGTGAAAATTGGCTGTAGGCTTATGAAAACAAAATTGTAGATTTAGAAATTAAATGTTCATTTTCAACTAATAACCTGCCTGTGATACCTCATAGGTCTAATTGCTATCAATTGTAGGTGATTTCAAATTGTATTGTTTATTACTTTAATAAGGCTAGGTAATTTGAGTTCTAGTTATCTGTACTTCAACTGAACTGGGAACTCAAATCTGGCACTAGATTAGTATTAATCCATGTATGGGTTATTGGATTCCATAATAATTATATGTATTATACGAAAAATAAAATTTAGTAATACCTATCATTATATTTTAATTATTATTAGTGACAAATCAGTTGTACATTTCTTAAATGGAATGAAGTATATAAAATGTGAAATCATCAATATTTATCTTTACATCTGTAGGCATGACAAGCCAGAAACATACTTATCCGATGTTTCACTACCAAATGCTGATTACATAATTCTATGTTATCAGAACATGAAAATAAACACTTAAATCATGTTTTAGTTTTGATTCACGTTCACTAGGCTACTTGCTTATTGCAGATTTTAGATAGATTATTAATATTCAAAAATAAAATGGTATAGGTTAACAACTTCTGTATTGTGGAAATATTGATTTTAGGAAAATAAAGTTCAACAACATTTGTGAAGGTTTTGTAAAGGTTTTTATTTATAAATATTTCTTTGTTTTATTTGGAACTTCAACAAATTATCCTAAAACTAGCTTCTTTATTATACCATATAAATAATAAAATCCTAATTTACTTTTTCTGATGTACCTATCTGTAGATGATGTAGTCTGAAGGTAAGAAACTTCGACAGGTTAGGTATCTGAAAAAAAGAAAGTCCGTTTAATCATAATATTATACAATGGGTAATGTTATTATGCTAGGTGGTACTTTTTGATATAAATCAAAGTCACCAGGTGTTTCGTATTTTATTTACCTTGGTCTGTTAAAGACTCGATTGATTCACAGTACTTCTTAAAATCTTTTTTACTTCTACAAAGTACATTTAAATTTATCTCTTTCAATCCCAGGTTGCGTAGTGTATCTAGCCTCTTCTTCACTGTTTTTTGTGATGCTGATAAAACCCTGGGTTTGTTGGCAATTTCTTCAACATCAAATCCTTCTGATTCAAGAAAATCAAGAAAGTGTTTTACCTAAAAATGTACTGCAAATTATATTAATTAGTAAGAACATAGTTTAATCATATTTTTAATCCTATTTCATTACACCTCGGTCGTACGCACAGGTGCGCAATTAACTGGCTTTCGGCACCCAAATCAACCCAAGTGATTGTTCTGATGTCTCTCAAAATACTTACACCACAGTGCACGGCCATGGTGTCAATAAAATAGGGCCTATTTGAGTCATTTTTGTACCTTAGTTACACGAATCGCTTTCAATGCAGGTATTTTAAAACACATTTCTTGTACTGTATCCACAGACACATTCAGCCGATTAGCAAGATATGTTTGTTTTGAGTTGGTTTCGCCCAAAATGTCCTTTGTTTCGGTTGATATAGTGATATACCTGAAACACAAAGCTGGTTTAACTTTTGGTCTCTTCCAGTTCGTTGTTATGGCAATGCAAAAACCTATTACCTACTATGGTAGTAAGCCTGGTTTTATAATACATCAAACATCAACGTTGCTCGAGGTTTTCTTTACCTAAGACCAGATGCTATCATGCAACATGCTGTTGTTTTAACCCTTAACCACGTATAACATGTATTAGTCGTCTCACAGACCCCAACAAATTCGTCAGTCGTGTCTAAGCTTCACGCGGACTTGATAGCTAGTTCGTTTTCCCTGCGTCTTTGTGCACCGTCCAAGCACTCGGTGTAGTGAGGTGAGACGTGCACGTGTATGTCTGTGGTAAGTAAAAAACTTGGGGTATGAGAGACGTACATACCAATGCTAGGTGCCCTGGGTGACTTTTTCATTATAAACTCTAATTTTTGAATATGGTTTATATTGCGCAAAACATCTATTGGAGACTGGCAAAAGACCCAGTAGGCGACAAAAATTATCTTCATAACGATAATGTGTTTAGTAATGTTTAAGGTGATGTGAGATCACGTGTTAGAAGAAAGTCCCGGATCGGACTGTAACAACCCCAAAGCGTGTAAGAAGTGGTTTACGGCTATTAGCAAATTACAAAAAGAAAAAAAAGTAGGTACCTACTTCAGTTTAGAATACAAAACACCCAATCTCTGTGAAATGTTCATATCTCATATGAACATATGAAATCTCTATGAAATGCAACTGCAAAGCTTCGAGCCTTTCAATCTCGTTGAAGTGTGGATTACCTACCTAAGAATAGCTAGTCTTTTTTAATTTTTGATACTTGAATATTTAATTATTTTTTTAACAGTTAATTATTAAAAGCAATTTTTTATTCAATTATTAATTAGCTCAAAATTAATTTTAATTTATCTTATTAAAAATATTTTCGTGTTGCTATTTTGCAAATTTTACGTTACATATTGTACCTACCTACAGATACCTATGTAAAATTAAATTAACTAAGCATTAAAAGTGGCTAATAAAGCTTCTTGTTTATAGTAAAGCATTGGAAATTATTAAAGTGCCTTGTATATAAGAAATAGAAAGTCACCTATTCAATATGTCTTCAGAACATCTCACCATCCACGGGTAGAGATTGTCAATGCCCAGATTTTTTACCTTTAGAAGTCTCTCATGAACAGTCTCATGGTGATATTTTAACACCCATAAATCCCTCAAAATACGATCAGAAGCTACATTCATTTCTGAAAAAAAAAAGTTGTTTGTTAGCAAAAGAATTATTTTAAAATCAATCTGACAATATCTGTTGATATGTCAGTAATAAAAAAGTAAAAACCTATGTATTTTCCTACTTTCTTTGTTTTCCCAAGTTTTTTTTGTTTAAATAATATGAAATACGTAAAATGTCTAATTCTTACCTATAAGTACATCTAATGCCTTCTCAATCCAATCAAATGACAAGCTATAAATGAAAGTTCTCTTAGCGAGTTTTTCACTCAATACTGATGGAGGCACCTGGAATTTTTCAAACATCACATTAGATAGTACACATTAGACATATTTATAAAATTATTTAACCATACAAAAAGAAACTTTGTGTTTAAACTGTCAAACACCAAGCGGTCACCGGTGACCGCAACCTATTGTTCTATAATTGTGTCTACAAAACCGGTGCTCGACGAGTTAAGGGCTTGCTACTGAAGGCATGCTTTCTTTACATCTAATGGTCAAAAGGTTACTACATTATATAATAAATTATGTAATTTATCATCACATGCCACAACACAGATCCACACGAGACAATGTATTTTCTCAGTCAAGAGTTTAAGCTAGAATGTAACTCAAAATTCAAATTATTTTACTCTTACCTTTAGCCGGGATGCAATATAATATAACCTATTTTTGCAGAACCCTTTACTTTCATCGTTTTTGGTAATTTTTAATACATGTATCAAAGTTTTTAAAGGAAGTTTATAAAATGGTAATGCATCTTCAGCAGACTGAAAATTGAGGGCTAATATTATCTTTGCTTTTGTGGCATTCAGACCTAAAAAACCATTATGTAGAAATTAAAACTTATTATAGTGGTATCTAATACTTGTGGTGTGTCTGTGTACGAGTGAATATTAAAAAAAATTACCACTTTTTTCCGTAGTTTTAGTTCTAGTCGCATACGAAGCTATTGAAACGATTGGTACTTTAATAAAAATGTCACATGGGGGTCTGCTTAGCACATTTTGAATAATTGTAGTAGGAATAATTTTAAAGGCACTACTACATAACGACAAATACGTCGGTTTTAATTTGCTAATTATTGTTCTTATAGCCATTGCTAAAGAATTTACTATTACAACTCGAACTAAAAATAAGGTATGTATGTACGTAAAATCATTAATTGCCTATAATGTTTGCGATATATTTATAATTAAATTATAGATATCATTCTAAAAGTAAGTTTAAAACATAAATAAAAACAAGAATGATCATTGATCAAATGATGTCAAAAATGTCATTCGTTTTGACATTGACACTGACAACTCACTATTTTATTTTTCTTTGCATGGATGTACTCTTTGTACTTCATGTAAATTTATCCTACTTTCTTTTACAACAATTTTATTTATTTCAAGTATAAACCTAAATAAAATTAAAACTAACCATTACTAAATTAAATATATACAACTTAAGATTAAAATTTATTAAAATAAAACTAAAAACAACTATTTACATAAAGCATTTTTAACAACATTTAATAGTTTAGTTGTAGTTAATTTTAAGTTGTAAATATTTATGTAGTTATATAAATTATGATATTTAAATAAACACATAGTATAGATATAGAAAAAAACATAAAGCATCGAAAAATTCGTCCGCATCGACGTCAATGGGGAAAGTACCCAGAAATCAGGCAGCATTGCCACGTTGTATGGCAATGCTTACCCTCTGACCGAGAAAAAGACCAGCCCTCTGGTCACGAGATGACCATGTGTTTCAAAATGTTTTTGCATAATTTAAGCGCACTCGGACCCCACGGCCCTAGCAACTCAACCCCAAATGGCTCAAAGATATAACTACCAGCGAGGTTGTTATACTTGCGCCACTTGAAGTTTTCTGCAGAGGATAAGGATTTATTAAGGATGACCTCATTTTCGTTAGCATTCAAGAAAGATGATGTACGGCAGCCTCACAGCCCCCTTTTGAGTCGAAGCCAATTTGGAGGGGTTGAAAGTGCGACATGAGCGCATCTTTATAATAGCTGCAACACAACTTGGCTGCCATACGCCTGTAAGTACATCCTACGGCAATGGGACGTATGCCGCCATCTTTCTTGCGTAGGGCACATAGGTTGGCCCCGAACAAAATGTCGATAACGGCATCCGTCACATTACCGGAGAGCATTAAATTAACCAGAACCGATAGCTCCTTCAGAAGAGACTCACCGGCTTACCGACGTCTGGCCCCGTCAAATCCTTAAGGTGTTAAGGAGTCAGACCATCAAGTCCACCAGCAGAGCCACTGCGGAAGGAGCCAACAACTGCAGCTACTTTCTGGACAGTTGCAGTGAAAATATGGATATCAGGTTCAGGAGGATCGGGAAAAGTGAGGCGGGCGTTTACTCTTCAGAGCTCCAAAAGTTTCTGAAGAGTAGGGAGTAACCACGTCACTACTGAATAAAAGCCTGGCAGCTTCACTTATATCACCTTCACCTAATTTGGATTCTACGTAGTCAAAACGAGTTTTTTTAATATTATTAAAGGGGTCAGGAAATGTTGGATTTAAAATGGGGTTTAAAATACTACCTACTTTTAGAATTCTGTAAGAGAAGGTGAGTAACTGCTCCTAAGCCGAGAAAGAGTTCTCCAGAGTTACAAGACGAATGCAATTTCCTAAATTCTTTCTGTGTCACATAAATTAAACCATTATACCTATTCACCTACTGTTGCACATCTCTGCATCACCCCATGGTTGACTGTTAGAGAATGCCACGTGTTTATTATACAGAAGTGTTAATAAATAAATAAATTAAGAGCAACGGACCGTCTCGCACCACGAGGAACTCTTTTTAAAACAGGTGTTGGATTAAGTAAAAACGCGGGTTACTCACGTGAATATACTGAGAAAAGCTCTACTAGTTTCGAACCACAGAGGGGTTCTTCCTCATGAGCAGCGTGCGCGGTCGCGGCGACGTCGCGCAGCTCACTGGCTGGCGTTGGCGCTCGCCTCGGTGTTGCCACCTGCGCTGCGAGCCCAACGCGCCCTCTGTCGGACACTACGAGCGTTTGCTTCCAACTCCGGCAGCGCGTTGGACGAAGCTAAAGCGCACGGTACGTTCACCAGCGGCGCGGGTCGTGGGTTCGATTCCGGGTTCGGCACAAAGTCAGTGTTGCATATAACGCTTACTGTGTCACACTCCAGACTGGAGACGCTGTGGATCGACGAAGACTCCAAGCTCGGCTTCCACGCGGGTGGCAGTGCCCAGCCACCATCCCTGTTGAAGCACGGTCGTCGGCTGATCTCGATGGCCTCTCGCACTTTTCGCGGAACGAAGTATTTTTCTCTCGCTAGTACGGAGACCTTATCAAAACGTATGAAGTGAGCCGCGTCCGTACCACAAACATGTTCAGCCACTGCCGATGCCTGGATGTCCATCTTCTTCACGCTGCGTATATGTTCCTTTAGCCTGGTTGTGATGTTGCGACGAGTTTCCCCGATGTAACTCGAGCCACAGTCGCACGGTATTATGTACACTCCGGGTACAGCCAGTGGATCCTTATCTTTAGGTGAGCGTAGTAGTTGTCTTAGCTGACCGGGTGGGCGGAAGATCGTCCTGATGCAGTATTTACGGCGAAGCAGGTGTCCGATTCTGTCGGTTACTCCTTTCACGTATGGTAAGAACGCTGGAGTCCGTTCCGCAACTGCCGGTCGCTTCCTACTCGAGCTGCTCGCAAGTCGAGTACATTGACGCCAGTTGTATCCATTGTTTTCCAGTACCCGTTTTAAGTGGTGAAATTCGTCGTCAATATACTGGGGATCGCATAGACTCAGCGCCCGGTTTATCAAGGTCCGGGGAACAGCGGCTAGATGGGAGGGATGATGGTGTGAGTCAGCTCGCAAGTACCGGTCCGTGTGTGTCGGTTTACGATACACTGTGTGTGACAATCGACCATTTTCTTCTCGTCTTACGAGGACATCCAAGAACGGCAACATCCCTTCTCTCTCTTCTTCAGTGGTGAATTGTATACTGCCGTGCACCGAGTTCAAGTGTCCCACAAATTCAGCCACATGTTCCCGGTTGACGATCGCGAACACGTCATCAACATACCTCCACCAATGTCGCGGTCGTACCGGGGCGGATGCCAAGGCCTGACCCTCAAACCACTCCATGTAGATGTTAGCCACCACCGGCGCCAGTGGCGACCCCATAGCCACTCCGTTCACCTGCAGGTAGTATTCCCCTCTCCACAGGAAGTAACCTGTGGTGAGACAATGATTAACACACGCGATGTATCCAGTAGGTAAATCAGTGTCCTTAAGTATGTTGGTAATTATAGATATCGTTTCATCTACAGGAACATTTGTGAATAGCGATGTTATGTCGAAACTTATCATAATGTCTGTGTCTTGGAGGCGAACATCTTCCAATAAGGCGACAAAATGGCGGGAGTCCTTCACAAAGGTGTTTGTTTTACCGGTAAACGGTTGCAGTATAGTAGCCAAATGACGCGACAGGTTGTAGGTAGGTGCGTCTATTTGACTAACTATTGGTCTTAGGGGCCAGTTTGGCTTGTGGATTTTGGGCAACCTTTGTTGGCAGTAGAGCTTTTCTCAGTATATTCACGTGAGTAACCCGCGTTTTTACTTAATTTAGTATGTCTCACGATAGGTGTTGGATTTTTTAATTTGGATAAAGTTCCCATAAAGACTGATTTGGAACCAGAAAAAGAATTTTGTAGAGGAGTAGTGTTAGAGGGGGATAAGGATACACTATGAGATTTGTGGATTTTTCCATAATGTATTCTTAACCCGCGTTCTCCTTTAAAAAATCGAGGCTGAGAGCACAAAGAACATCTTACCAGGCTCTCTAGAGATTGATGGGCACACCGAGGAGCACTTCCAGACTCGACGGCTGCATCACATGGATGCATGCAGGTCGAAAGCCCTCAAAAATGTATCAAAAATACTAATAATTAAACAATAATGATTAAACTAAAAAAAATAATATTGGTCACGGCCCGGCGGCCGTGATGTCGCTCAGCGCTGCGCTGTCGTGCTGTCGCGCTGTGCCGCGCCGCCCATATCTTCAAAAAGCCCCGCCGACGACGCGGCGATGTTGGAAGAAGTCGTCACAAATGCTCGGAAACGGTTAGATTAGTTTTTTGTCAATGAGTCTTTTCAGCACGTCGAAGCAGATAAAAGTCAACGTAAAGAAAGATTTAAAGTATGCAGCAGACCGGGCACTTATATTATATTTTGCCTTTAAATTCATTTTTAATAATCACAATCACGTCTCGATGTAAATAATACACTTTCGAGTACGAGTTTATCTGTAATTCACTTTTTATTTTAAAAAAATCCTAAATCCTATTTTCTGCAAATACTATGTTTCAGAGTATTTTAATTTTCTAATGGGTAAATATTAATGTAAATAAATATTTCAAAAGTAATAGGTATTTGTGTGATTTGATTTTTACCATATTACTATTGTAATTTTATGTACCCACAATACCCACCTATGATATCATAATACACAGAAAATCAGAGAAAATTGTATTTTTTTTTTCTAGACATGAACTGAAGTACTGAACAGATATATTTGTATTATAACTTTCGTGAGACATATTAAATAAATTATTGTTTTCGGCTTACTGGCGTAATTATTTATGAACAGGTCAATAATTAAAAAAAAATCACAATTAATACTTTCAGTCTTTTTTTAATGAAACATTATAAAAAAATAACTTAAGCTTATCGACGGTAACTACTGCGTCGGCATGATGTTCGACGGTAATATCTATCGTCATCATCATCATCATCATCATAATCGTCGTCTTCACGGTCGCGGTGGCGTGATCTTCGATGACGCCTTTCACTACTTTCGTCACGTCTCGAACTGACTCTTTTCAATGGTTCTCTCTCTGGCGATTCAGACCACCGCCACGATCGAACTGACGAACGGGAACTCCTGTATTTAATAAAAAAGTAATTAGTTTCTTGCATTGTATGTTTAACTTAATGGTTCTTGTTTCGCTTGAGTATCATCTTTCGTATGGTTGATTAAAAACTTGTACTGCTTACCTTTCTTTCTCACGTTCGGGATCATAATTTTGATTATGATTGAATAAGTTATTCGGATTTCTGAAGACATGCAGAAAATTGCATGCTCTACCCTTTGGACAACGCCTTCGTAATTGAAGTCCTAAAAATTATAATTACAATTTTATACCAATCCTCACTGAAATCAGAATAACATAAAAAAGTGAAGGAAAATTACCACATATGGCATTGCTCCAGGATTTTATGTTACAAAATTGTAAGGAGAGCTGTCTACCGCCGTACCAGCGCGTATGTAAAGCTCGATAAGCGGCGACAGCACATCGTAGCTCAGCAAATTCTATGTATGTGTTGCCCCGAAGATGTTTTTCATAATTATTGCACACCTGTAACCATACAAAATGTTCTTATATTTTCTACTATATTTATTAAAATCATCTTATACTAATAATATAGAGTGAATGTTTTATAAACTAACAACATTGTGGAATCTGTATGATTCAAAATATGTACGAACCTTGCTTGAGTTTCCATTTCAGTTTCAACCAAATCCTCCATTGGTAATGAAAAATATCTGAATTCCATTTGAGTAACAAATTGTGTCTTTAAAAGTTTAACAGAAAGTAAAGATCAATTCAAGTTTAAGTAACTCAAGTTAGTAATGCCCTTGGTCAATTACTAAGTATTGAGAGGGGATCAGAATTAAATATCTGACAACTCATTCTAATAGCAACATGGGCCTGACTTCAGATATGAGATAATTTTAAGGGTTTCAAAAACAACAGCTTGAATTTTAAGCACAGCCAATCTAAAGAGTTACCATAGCATTGCTTACAACTCACCTTAAATTGTACTATTCGACCAAATTTTTCAAATTCGGCCAATACATCATAGAAGAATTCTTTGAATTCTTTATATGTTTCGCTATCTTCATATTCTAGCATGATATCAGTGTCGTATTCATTGATATCTGCATTACTTAGCCCAAAGTGGATATAAAAGTTTGTGGCTAATAAAACCTAAAATAAAACATCTTTTGTTAGTTTCTAAAATAAATAAGTGATGATCTAGAAGCAATAAAAATACTCAATCTTTTGACCATCATTTAAGTCTACATGGCACTACTGATTACAGTCATATCACATTACAAGTACATTTTTTTCAATGTCCAAAGAATTCAGTGATATCAAAAGTGGTGATCAAAAGACTGATGAGCAACTATCATAGTGAATTTTAGAAAAGGATATACTCTGCTAATGCCTGGATATTGATGATTTCTTGAACACTGGTCACCAAATCGACAGCATGAAGTTTTAGTGAAAAATGGACAGAGTTCGGCATCTGATCTTGTTTCGCGAACAACTTTTAATTCAGGAGGAGGCTCAACTGAGTCTCCTGATAAGAACTTATCCAAATGATCCATAAACATTTTATGTTTTCTTTTTTGTTCTTCTTCAGCAGCTTTTATTCTTTCTTCTTCCTTTTTTTTCCTTTCTTGTTCTAACTCATATTCCTGTATAAATTAGATAAAACAAGCGAATTCATTGTTAGTAAGCGGAATAAAATATTATATATATATATAAGTCTTGTATTTTAATGTTTTTGCTCTACAATAGTGGGATGCTCATGGCTAAAACAAAATGTTTTGCTTAGAATGTAACCATCAGCCTGTACTTAATGAGTTGTAATTAGTTATTTGCTAAATTAGATTCTGATAACAAGTTGTAAAGTGTTTCTAATAAATAAAAGGGTTGTGCTTACTAGTCTCATCTTAGCTTCTTGTTCCAATTGCTTCTGTGTGGCCCTCTCCTTTGCTTCTTGGAGTCTTTTCCACTGAGCAATTGCAATTTTTTCAGCTTTAATCCATTTTTCATTTTCTTCCTCATTTTGTTTATTAATTTGTTCAAGAATTAATTGTTCTTCTATTTCTTGCTGTTTTATGTACCATTCAGTTGAAAAAAATTTTTCTGCAAGTTATTAGAGACAAACAGACACATGTTAAAATATGTTTTAGAATAAAAAAAAATATAGTTTATAATTTCTTTAATAACCAAAAATAATTTTTCATTTTATTTAATTATATACCACGTTTTGGTATTGACCAACCTCTTTCCGTAGCTTGAAGTGTTCGAATACGTTTTCTTCTTTGCTTTTTAGCAATTTTTCTCCATTCTGCGTGCCTGCAAAATACAAATAAATATTATTATAATTGGCGAAACCAGCTATACAGCTCCGTTTTAAGTTTTAGAAGGGGGGAACTAACCTTCCCATGTTTTCTTCGAAAGTTAATGATTCGTATTCTTTTCTTGTCTTTATTATTCTTCAATAAGATTTAACGTGATGTATTTCGTACATTTATTAAAAAATAAACAACATGCATGAGTGCCAAAGAGGTCAAAGAGTTTATCAAAGTGTCAATGTCACGATGACGCTAACGTCACTAAATAAAATAAATTTTATTTTTGGCAATGGCAACTTTATTGAAATAAACAATGAGAACCATAGATATTTTTTTTCTCTTCTTTGGCAAACGAGTAACCATAGATATTTTTTTTCTTCTTTGGCAACCGAGTCTGCAAAAACCGGTTATACTAACTTTGTTTGACATCATTGACATTTTGAAGTTATTAGAAAGGTTTATTTCTGTAAAAAAACTTAAATAACAACTATTACTTAAATAAAATTAAACCTAAATATTACTAAATTAAATATATACAACTTAAGATTAAAATTAATTATAGGAAATTTTGACATTTTGAATGTCATGTTAATGTCAACTAGAGTAGTGCTGAATCTTGATATTATGCTTGATATTCTCAAAGTGTTAATTAAGGGTCCTATTATTTATTTCGTTTAAATATAAAGTATTGTAAATAAAAGTAAGGCCCTGCACCTATTTTCTATTGAGTACTCGGTGCAAAGACGTTCAAATAAGAACGTGGTTTTTTCGGTCCGAATATTTTAAGACTGGCGACTATCTTAAAGTTCTAATGAAGACATAAAAATAAAGTTATTGAAAACTTTTTATCTATGTAACTCTAACTAATATAATAATTATGATACTAAAATTGCATTGTTAAATTAATTTTAATTATTTTTTGAAGGTAGATGGGACGTGGTTACTTTATCATATTTATTTACTTCGTTATAGAACTCTGTGGGTAGTTGTTAGTTACACCGTAAACGCCGATTGCGCTAAACATCAGAAGTGTGTTAAAATGGAAAATAGCAAGCAAAAGATAAAAAACTTAATTCACAATCATCAGGAACTAGACTTCATTGAACTATTGCGTGCTGGATTTGACCCTAATTTAGAAGGTGGTTGGCCAATTCGACTAGCAGCTCGACATGGCTGTACTGATATTGTAGAGGCTTTGCTTCAGTTTGGAGCAAATCCACATTTATTGAGTGAATCAGGTAAAATATCATTTTCAAGCATTATCTATAAGAACCTACCACCATTACCATCTCTTGTTTAAATCCATCCCAATTCCAGAAACAGATTCGCTATAATGATAGTAAAATGTCAGTTAGTTAAACGTTAGATAGTCAGTTAACTGTAACTGACGTACATTTTTTTAAATCTGTCCTAATAATAAGACTTCGAAAATATGTTATGCTAATAAAAGATTGGCCAACATAAGTATTGTGGTACAATATTGTTAAATTTCTTTTCTCATTAATTAATTGCCATGAATTAGTAAAATAATTTTAATAAGTTTATCAAAATATTGTTTTTGTACTTAGGTGCATCAACGTTACAACTCGCAGTTTTTTCTGGCGAACACTGGGATACTGATAAATGGACACCGTTACTGTCGTGTTGCGATTCATCCCAGTTGGCTGATGGCGCAGCTGTAGCAATTATCTTTAATAACGTTGAGGCTTTAAACAAGATTTTAACGACTGGGAGATGTAATACTAACATACCTACTACTTTAACAGGTACGTTACATTTCCTACATGTAGGTATCTACTGCGTTTAGTGAGCCTAATATATTTTATATACATACTTACTTAATATGTGTTTAGGTATCGGCACAGGCTACGCAGGTAGTTCTGTGTATGTACTTAATTTTTTTTTGTAGTTTATATACTACTAGCGACCCGGCCCGCCTTCGCACAGGTGCAATGCACAGCTTTGGTGTAAAAACAATAAGTACTGTAGTACATTATTTTGGTCTAACTCGTAGGCCAGCGTTTGCAATATAAGCACAAAAAAGCAAAAAAAGTGCTTATTTAAGACATCACATTAGAAACCTCTAAAATCAGTGTTTCTCTACTATACTATGCACGTATTTAACATATAAATTATAAACCTTCCTTAAGAATCACTATCTATTAAACAGCATGAAAATCGTAGTTTGCGTAGTTTTAAAGATCTAAACATACATAGGGACAGACAGACGGTGGATAGCGACTTTGTTTTATACTATGTAGTGATAATGTTTAGTAGATGAATATGAGTTCTATTATTTTCTATATTTCAGGGAAAACATTAGAAGTTTTGGCAAAAGCCTACAAATTGAGCGAATTATTGAACACATCAACAATCAATGAACATCCTACACCAACTACTATGGCGTCTTCACGAATGTCAAGACAAGAGAGAATGGTACTTACATACTTATCATACTATGATATTGTGCTAGGTAATATATAAAAATAAAGAATATGTCTGTTTGATCGCGCTAATCTCCACAACTACTGGTTCGAATAGTATAATCTTTTTGTGTTGGATAGCCCCTTTCTGAAGAAGGCTGTAAGGCTATCAAAAATTATGCTAAGATCAATTAGGAGTCGAGCATGAATGAAGCGGCCTTAGGTTTTCGTTTCGATACAGCGTTTACTAATCCTGCAAAGCGGAGGCTTGAATTCAATCGAAACCCACAGGGGGTGCCCTCAGTGTCAGGGATGCGGTCAGATAGATTGCAGACAGGTAAGTTTGTTTACTGCTTCAAGGCTATCTGGCTATCGCCCTGCTAACTCTTATAACAATAACTACCTTGGTATTTTAGTTCGTTAATGTTGTTACAGGTGCATTCGCCATCATCACCGTTTCACAGTTCGAATAGAAATTTATCGCCGTCTGTTGCTCATTTTTTTAATCAAACGGCACATCAGACATCGTTATCACCTTCAAGGAGTACCATGATAATTAATTCTCCTACAGGGGACGCTAATCGCCGGTTATTATAAAATAATCAAGTGGTATAAAACGCACTTTTATAATTTTTATAAAAGAAAGATTAATATAAAATGTTAGAAAGAGTATGGAGACACTAAGTTTTAGATATATGTACCTACAGTTTTTATTACCTATATTATTTAAGACAAAGCTAGCCATGACGTTTAATCATAATAAAAATCAATGATAATGACAATTAGTTTAGAAATTTTATATTTGTGTAATGACTAATTAGAAATAATGAATAGTTAAGCAAGCAGAGAATAATATAATGATAATAAAAGTAACTATGTACTAATTCGTTTTATTAAGTAATTAATATTGTTGTTTTAAACACAAAATATTATTAAATATCGTACCTCCGGTGCTATACCGTCATTTATGTATTGCGGGGGCCCGCGCGCAACTGAACAATGAAACGTTGTTTTTTCCTAGTGCCGTCCAGATTAGCGCCAAAACCGTAACGACAGTAATGCCCTCACAATGTCAGTTTGCTTACTACACAAATGACAATAACGCACCAAGTAAAGAGGTGAATTTGGAGTATTCTTTCATAATCAGTTAAGTTTTGACAAAAATTGCATAAGTGACGATATTGCACCGTAAGGTGCGATATGTCTGTCTATGTTATTAAATTTATTTAGATATTCGAGAACACTGAGTTGGGGTGCAAAGACTGACGGCTTGAGTTTCAGACAGGGTATCGTTTGGTATCTGGAAAAAATAGCAGGTAAACAAATACACAATTTAAACGTTTCACATACCTACGAGCTATAACATACCAGACTAAGATTACGATTCAAAATCGACGAAATTGTAAAATACTTACCATAGAATTATTATCAAGCTGCTGCATTTCTTGTATCTGAATAGTAAGTGGAGTGCCCAAAATATTAGATATCTTGCTGTTTAGGCAATTCAAAAACCTTGATATTATAATTCTCTGAAACAGGCACGATTGGGACTATAGTGGGAAGAATGAGGACGGGCTCACAAGGTAGGTAGTAGTAACAAGAGGACTGTGGTAGGTACTAACTGACAAAACGAAATGTGGCCAGGGTGTGTTTGTGCCCTTAGGAAAATAAAGGCCATGATGATAAAATATGAACTATGCTAGTAAAGATTTGAACCGCCATATATTTTACGAAAAGTTTTGAGACTCAGGTAAGGCAAACACTACTATGTTTTGATAAAAACATGTACGAACAGCGTTTCCTATTACGGTTTAACCTTTTGAATGCACCGATATGAGACACAATAGAAAAAATACATTGTGTCTCGGGTGGATCCACGTCTTAGACACACGAGAGGTTAAATATTTACATACCTCTAATGGTTTTGGGGTAGGAGTCACAATTGGAAAATTTCTAATAACGCATAGCTTTGGGTAAAGTAATGGTTCTCCACGCCAGAACTGAATCGAGTAATAGGAACTTTCTTCTTCAGGCAAACGATAGCCATGCTGTGAAAACCAGTTGAAAAACGTTCATTCGAAATTGAAACTGAAGACAGAATAATGTAAGTATGTAGGTACTTAGATACCTACTGTTTGCTTACCTACCTACTTAAAATTCTCATTAACTTTAAATATCGTGCTGTCGTACCACTCGTACCTGCTGCTGGGCTGAGTCGGTTAAAAAAAGTAGTAACTACGATAATGTAACTAAGTAAGTAGGTAGGTTAAGTCAAATAGGTAAGTTATGTTGCTATGGATTTTCATATGAGTCTTGGTAAATTATTAGGTATGTAAAAAAATACAAAGTAAGTCTAACTCACAATATTTTTCCAGTGTCGACGTATATCCTTGTAAGATTTGAATTTTGAAACTGGAACTTGAGAAAAATCTTTACAGCTGTCTTCCACCATGGCCTTATTTAAACTAGAATCAAAAATAACTTGCTTTAAAATAAGTGAGCTCCATGTTTTTGGTAAGACCTAGGGACCTAATTAATTTACTTAAAGTGGATCGGAAATAGGCATATAAAACACAGACCTTGGCAGAACTCTTATCCATTCACCAGGAGAAAATTCGTCTTCAGATATCATCAAATTTATTTTTACAGCATTAATTTCAAGAATAGTAAAGTTTTCTGTGAAAAGGGCAATAAGGATACTGTTTTAACATAATTATAACATACAAGTTGAACTTGCAATTCATATTTAACATACGATACAATTTTACACATACGATTAACTGAAATATTGTATTTGATTCCTTCTTGAGGCCCCTTTGTAGTAAGGAAGTCTCTATTATTTATTAAATAAATTTCTTCCATTGTATTCCACGCAGGGGCGATCCTAGCTGTCATGGTGTAATGGAAACATTTTTGATATATTTCAGGAGTAACTTCCTTTATTCCACCATCCTAGAAGGAAATCAGTGTTTGGAATTGACATTAGATTTAAGGAACCTTAATATGGGCTATACAGATGTTGTTGAACAAGCCCTAATTGAAACCAACGAAATTATGTAAGTAATAGTAATCACTAAAATATAAGTGATAATTATTATTATATATTTGCGTACATTAGTAGTCAATTTTGATACTTACTTGCATTAATGAAAATTTAACGAAAAGAGAATTTAATCTATCGTAATCATCACCAGTTTTGTTAAAAATTATGTGAACTTGTTTCACGTCCTTCTTGTCGGGACAAGCTAGGATTGACGAACTTGAAAAAATTATCATTCTGAAAGAAAAACTCAGATAAGTACATCATAAAAATAAATAATAATGCCTTAATATGTAATCACCCCATTATTTGGTGGGTAATTCACCTGCATTTAAGTATTTTCCAGTGGAAATCTGATGGCGCCGAACGATCATGTTTGTCGCTAATATTTGCGATAGCTGTGATATAACCTAGTTTATTTAAATCAGGATTTACAATGTTTATTCGCATTTTGAGCAGCAATAATACTTTCACATTCGTAATATTCGTATATAATAGTAGTTTAGAATTGTAATTTGTAATTCGAAAAAATGGCGCCAATTTTAAATGAAAAATAATAGGACACAGATTCATAATCAGGCTAATCGATTTTACATTTATCTGTGGTAAAATAACGAAACTAAATAATAATATGTTAAATTATTTTTTATGGAAAAGTAAAAACTTCCATGATTAAGCAGTTCAAAAATGATGTAACTGCTGTTCTCTATATATCCATAGCTCTCCAGAAAATAGGACAGCGACGTTTTATTCTCCCAAACATAGGTACAAATGTTAAATACCTGCTTGCACTTACAGCATGCAATTACACAAGTGTTAAAATAAAAGACATTGTGTGTATAAGTTAGTTTTTTTATTCAAATTAAAATAGTATTAGACGTAAAAATAACTAAATTCAGTAAATATTTTACACAACTAAGGTACACATACAATAATAAAAGTTCAAACATAATTTTAGCTTATCTAATTTTAAACAATCTCAATCACAGAACTCTTGATAATAATCATTGATGACATCCGATTATTGAATAAAAAAGTGCAAAAGGTCCCAATAACCGTAATTTTTAAATTATTATAATTTTTGTATTAAAATTGGTCAGTTCGTTATTTCATCGTTAAACCATAGCACTAAGTAGAAAATTATAAGATTAGTGATACAATATTATTCAATTCATTTGGCAATTCCTTTCAATCTAGCACTCATTTCATCGCCAAATTTTGCAGTCAGATATTTCATCTCATAATACTTAATTACTTTGGCACTTCCGAGTTGGGTAACAATGACAATTTAAAAAAGATGTTTCGTGCGCGCGTAAGCAAGTAATTAATTATTATTCGATTGATTTTCAAATTGGTCACGAGCTTTGCGCAACACTCCTTGAGTCTTGTGAATCTCTCTACAAATAGCACGTTGAACGCTTCTCTTGCGCAAATTGGCTGCATTCAATTGCATCAATGTTTCTGCGAGCGTTGCCTTGGTCCTCGCGAGCTTTTGCTTTAATGTTACATTCTCCTCATACAATGAACCTGCAAATATAGATGTTTACGAGTTAAATTTATGATTATGGCGGAAGTCGAATTTGCTTAAGTTTAGATTGTAATGAATTTCGGTTTATAATGGAAGTACTTACGTGGTGAAAGTGCTACGGGATCGTTTTGTTCTAAGCTTGACAACCTATCGCTATCAATACCTTGATCTGGTGAAGTAGGTCGTTCTTCTTCTGAATGTTGTCCTTCATGTACGATGGCAACTTTATTATTGGCATCCAGTGCCATTTTGCGTGTTACTTCAATTTCGAGCTGAGAATTTATTTCTAAGGCATTTGAAAGTTTTTCACGTGTCTCTTCCAGTTCCCTTTCTATACGGAGTCGGTCATGTTGAGCACGCGCTCTTTCTAATGCAGCCTGTGAGGCTTGTACCGTGGCCTCATCCGCAGCACGCCTTAGCGAACGCTCTGTCTCCATATATGTAGCTTCTAGTTCTTGTCTTTCCGATCTCAGTCTCTCAGTTAATAGCACTGAGTCTGATAGTTTCTGCTCAATATCTTTAATCTTAAATTCCAAACTCGTGACCGTATTTCTTAACTCCTCTATAGATTGATTAGCTTCAGTCAGACTTAATTCTTGAGAAGTCACCGTTTCCTTTAATTCGTGATTCTCTGCAATCAAATCATTTATTTGTTCTTTTGTAAATTCTAATTTATTACTTAAATCATTGTTCTCTTCCTCCAAGTGCTCACTTCGCTTAGTGAGAAGATTGAGTTCTTCAATCAAGGTGTCACTGGACACTGGTTTATTGTCTTCTGATCGAGAACCATAAGAAACCCGAGCGCGTCTTGACCGTACTTTGCTATTGTCGGTACTAGATTCGCGCAAGCCGACACCTGTGTCGCACAGACCAACCCGAGCCAGTGATACGTTTCGATCAGGCTCCGACCAACATTCTGATTCCGAAATGACGTCTGCTTGTGGGAAATGTTTCATTATAGCTTTTTTCTGGGCCGAATATTTCATCGCGTTATCATCACTACAAGCCATGTGGTGTCCAAACATCATAGTCAGATCTTCAATCCTCAATGACTGTGATATATCAATATTACTCTCGTCCATTGTGAAGTCTTCTGGCGCCATTGACTCATCTAGTTCCAAACCAACAGGCAAGGCAAGACTTTGTTCTAGTATACTTTCAGCCAACTTCTTCTTATCCTCGCCAAGTACACATCTGTCGAATATGATGGGGAATGATGTTATTGTTTGATCATGATTATTACAATTTTAACATAATTTATGTAATTAATATACTAACTTGTGCGACAGAAGTTTGTCGAGGAAATAAGCCAATCCTTGCAGTCGTTTAGTAAGTAGCTGCTGAAGATTTCTGGAAACCAGAAAATTATAGAAATAATTAAAAGTAATTAAAAATTTGTTATAAGACAAATTACGTAGTCGCAAATAAAATTACCCCGCGTCAACATCTTGAACTTTCTCGAAATGCTTTTGTAAATCCCTGACTTTGCTCTCCAAATCCTTGATATGTTCATCTTTACATTTTAAAATTTCTTCATACTTCTCCAATTGCGAATCGCTAACATGCGCGTAGACTAATTCTTTGTCCTAGAAAAATTGAATCTGCATTTACACATAAATGTAACACTAACACAGCTTACAAAATCTTCAGATAAATCTTACCAATTTAATTTTCTTTATTTCTCTGTCTTGCTGTTGAATTTTTTTCATACATCCTTTTATCATTTGCAAGGCCTTTTTGTTCTCCCTGCGTAATTTAACAAGTTCATCCTGCAGATAAGGCATTATTTTACTATCAAGAAACTCTACATAACAGAAACCAAATTGCCGCGAATAAGTATGGTCTTTATACTTACCAAATCATCATTGTTCACTGTTACAGCCAAATAATCGCTAAAACATAATAATAAATGTATAAGTTTCAACCACATTTTTACAAGAGGAAAATGCGTAAGTAATAGGATAACAATTTAAATTACCCAGCCGATTCAGACTCCGCGCACGTATCATCAACCAATTCCTTCTTTTCGGGTTCCTGAAATACAAAGAATTTTATGATTAAACTGATAAGTAAGGTAGTAAGTATCAACAATTTATATATTTTATAGTATTGTTATTTACCTGATCCTGTGACACTTCTTTTTTCATCACATTACTATTATTCATGGATATTTCCACACTGTCAGTCGATATGGAGCCCTGTAAAATATAACTTATCAGACTAACTCATTCTCTTAATTTATCAATGATTCTTAATGAGGACATACTTGTTGCTCCAAGACGTCAATGGCTTCAGCTGCCGCAGCAAGAAGCTCTTGTTTGTCAGTCAGTTGCCTTCTCAATTCCTCCACTTCCACTTGAAGCCTGACATTGTGTTCCAAAAGACCCTGAGGGATATTTTTTCGAGTTAGACAATTCTGATATTGGCAACGTTTATAGAGTTTATATTAATGACCAATGTAGACTGTCTCGTTGATAGAATTCAATTCGGGGATTCGATTCTCGGGTCAAGCAAAGAATATAATATAGTAGGTAGTATTTTTTTTTATTTCGGCGAAATTAGACACGACGTTAGCGCTGGCGCCGTTAGTGAACGAAATAACTAATAGTAACGAAATAAATTAATTTCACAGTATACGTTTACGGATTTACTTGAATTATGTTCATACAATTTTAAATACTTACTTGAACAGCTGGTGGCGATCCAGTACCCAATTTCTCTTCAAGGAAATAGATCCTTAGCTTCAAATGAAAGTTTTCCTTTCTTAAGCCATTCAGTTGTTCCTCATACTGTTTCATGCTGATACCGCTTGCAGTGGTGACATCTGTCGACATTATTTCAACAATTATTTAATCTTACGTGTTTTAACAAAAAATTTACTCACGTGAATGTACTAATTAGAAAAGTTAATTTACATAGTATGTCTCACGATAGTTAATATAAAAACATTGCAAACCGTGTTTTGTTACAAAATTGTTTACATAATAATATCCAATAGCGTGTTAATGATTGTAATTTATTAAATCAAACTATACAATAGAAAACTGTAAATTAATCAAATATACGCACCGTGCCCTTCACATGGAGGCAGCGCCATCTCTTGAAGTTTCCGCGGGCTAGTACTGTAAATAAAAGAAAATAACAAATGTAACGAAAAGAATCTGATAGTACCATTACGTAGGGTAGGAGGGTAGTTAACGTGGTAATAGTCAACTCCTTTTAAAAGGTGTAAGGACGGGAGAGCGTGGATAAGTGTATCAAACCAGGCGTGATAGCGCCGTTAATGCCAACTAAATACTACCTTGTAGGAATCTAACCATGTAGGTATCCAATTTTAATTTTCTTTGGGTTTCTTATTTTATATCAGGTAATTAAGATCGACCATTTTAGGTAGGTACTATCATAATAACCAGAACTTAGGGTACACTTATGTGATTTTAAATTAAGTAAATGAAATTATTACTCCCGGTAGAATAATATTAATTGATAAACTCCTTACCTAAACGGAGATGGTAATCCAGGCCCCGGTTTAGAATTGTGCATTCTAGGCAAAGTTGCCATTTTAATTTCGAATAAATCCTTATTATATAACTACACCATCAGTACACACAATAACAAAGCACAAAAAAGAGTAAACAGTACCACACATGAGCTACACTACAGTGAACGCAAATCGACGACAACTGGAAATTATTTGTGTCGATTACCATTCCATTAATAGATAACGAATGTTATGCTTATAAAACCCGATTACACTTAACACATACGTTTTCTAAGTGAACTTAAATAACAGGAGAATATTGTAAATAAACAATAGCGTTATTAGTAAATCACTTTGTATTTTATTTGACGTGGTACACGATAGGTTACTGAATTTAGGACAGATGGGATACGGGACTTCGACTGGGATTCGGGAGTGATCGGATATCATCGGGACTCGCAGAGCGGGGTACGTAGATAAACAGCATTCTGGTACATATTGTAAGGGAGATTATGAAAAAGAAAGAGATAGATGCTGTCTTGCTAGACAGAGATAAATATAGGTGAAGCGGATACTGTAAACTGCACAATACAGAAATAGAAGTGGTGGCGCCATTAAGTATGCTCTGTTCCAAATTTTGAATTTATGCCTTACTTCCTGTATCTTACTAAAGTCATGTATGTACATATTATTATGCGTCATTTGTTAAATGATGTTCAACATTTTTAGGATTAGTGAAATTAATTACAATATGACACTTCTTTAAGCACAATACAATAGGAAATATGGAAAGGTTCCATGCAAATTAAAAGGGTAATAAATTAATCATTTCTATCTACTTGAGATTGATTTTAAAAAACCTATTTATCTTAATTAGCACATTCGGCACTTTAAATTATTTGTACTGTGTACACTACTAATAGACGATTGTAAGACAGATCTGTCTGTAGGTCGTCATACGTCTCGCTTGTAAACTACCTACCGCAGATGGAACAGATACAGAGAACAGAACATTAGACCGCTAATAATATTGATCCTCAAAATATCACCTTTTTATTTTTTTCTGCCAACATCGTGGTAACTGGCAAGTCGTAATGAATTGTATTCATGAATTACGCCTGCAAAGCCGCACAGATAGTAGAACGTGACCTAGGCTTGTCAATTAGGAGAATGAGTTAGTCTGATTGAAATGATTAGTAAAACGACTCCAGGTTGAGACGAGAAAGATATCGAGTTATTACAGTTCTTAAAGCATTGAAATTGGGAATAGGTCACAATTGTTTTATTTTTTTATTTTAGATCTAATAATACTAATAACTGCGAAAAGTGTAGATAGGTATTAGGGCTATGTGCATTTAACTACTCACAATGAACATTCTATTAATCAATGAAGTTAAAAAATATATACACTCACTCGTTTGCAGTCGTATGAAAAAAAATGCATTCACATTCGATACTCATAAGTATTATCAAGACTACAGGTAATTAACTAATTAGGTACCTATAAGTAAGTCAAGCGTTTTCATGAATACTACATACATAATTAAATAGGTACTGTAAGAATTTCCCACTCCAATCAATCAAAATTATTGATTAAAACTGCATGGTTGGCGCTGTGGCTGGGTAACTAGCTGCCGCGCAACATGTAGCGGATTCGATTCCCGCATGAAGCAATTCTTTGTGTCATCCACAAATTTGTTTCAGGCCTGGGTGTCATGTGTATGTGAACTTGTATGTTTATAAACGCACCCACGACACAGGAGAAAATCTTAGTAGGGCAAAAAAAAAGAAAGACTAGAGAGTTGGGTAAAATATTATTAGAATTATTTAGGTTTTCTAAAAAAAATATTTAGCAGGTACTAGCGTAGTATCCGGTTTCTGACTAGACACATATTGAACATCACATGGGACTATGTGACTGAAACAACAACAATAACAAAAACTGCAAGTTTTATTGAATCTCAGCACCTCTTAGGAATTAAAAGGTGTGTGTTATGTAAACATGTTTTGCCGGCTTCAGAAATTTATTACTTTAGGTACTCTAGTAGTTGACTGTACTGTAGTGCTCACCTTAAAATGGTGACACTGGAGAAATATAAATGTTATTCTAGTAAACATGTAGAAAAGAGCACATTAACTATAATTAAATGAAACTACCTATTACAATGTATTATTGTGTATAGTAAGATGGCACTAAATAGGTATAGAGTAATACCATCTGTAATTAGTAAGTGACAAATATTGTTATACATGTTGCAAACACAATGCTCCTGGAAGACTAACGAACAAGTGATGGTATAACACAAGTTTTATTTTCATCATCATCATCAACTGCCTATAAGTGCCCACTGCTGAGCAAAGCCTCTTTTCACACGGAGAAGGTTTGAGTATTAATCATTTGAACTCTCACTGCGGGTTGGTGTTTTCAAACTTATAATTACAAATTATTAGTCGAAGTTTCCTCACAATGTTTTCCTTCACCATTTGTCAGTGGTGTCCAAATAATCATAGAAAGTAAATATAACTTGGATAAAGTGACATTGGTATTTGCCATTGGTAGGTTTCGAATCCACACCCTTGTTTATGAGAAGCGGGCAATTTGTAAATATTTCTTTTAAGTAATAATGATTGTAATTAGCTACTCAAGGCTGATTTTGGATGAATGAAATGAAAACAAACACGATTAAAATTGTGAAAACGAATTGGAAGGGAAAAGCGTTTTGGGAGCGTACTGTTTGCACCCTGTGTTTGTTTATAAAATGGTAAACATTAAACATAATCCTAGTCCTAATGACTAAAGGGATCGAGATGAACAGTGGCAGATAAAGGTTTAGAGCAACACAGGCTAATATCGCATGGGATTGTGACCAATTGGCGTAATTCATCAGATTCCTATGAGATTATCAGAATCCAATACAATATATTGTAGGTACAAACTTACCCAGTGTCATGGAAGCCATACCGAAGGAGCAATTTTATAGAGTATCATTGAATATATATTGTAATGAAATATAATTACAATAGCACTTACATTACACCAACATCTCCGCCAGGTAGCAGTTCTGCCATTTTAATGAGAAATCGTTGAATATTAGGTACTGATAAATTCGTAGGCTGAAAACAATTCATGGTATTTGTAAGCATTCAAGTATATTTGGAGTTTGAACATAATTAACATCAATAACATTTAAGAAACAACAGCAGGTGTAAATACAAATACAAAATTCATAAAAATAAAAAATTACTCTCGAATGAACTATCTATCAAAAGGCTGTTATAAAACTCACAAACAACACTCAATTTTGTACAATAAAAACATTTAAATAATCACCTTCTCGAAGTCTTAGTAATTTCCTCAGTTGAGTTTCAGAGTTTGTAAATATTAACAATGTACCAAATTAATCAATCAAGTTAATTTCAAAATCTCAATTCAAACAGACAACGAGCGAAACGACCATTACAGATTAAATCAGTGAATGAATGATATACTTATTATAATTATAAATCTATATAACTACTGAATAAATGAACGAGTGAAGTATTAAATTAAGCATATTGCAAACAACAGAAAAAGTTTTTGAATTTTTGATGATTGTTTCGACTTCGAGCGGGAATCGAGCATAGTTATTAGTAGAGACCGGATAATATGCAACATAAAAAGCTTGAAATATGCATGCAAATATGCATGAAAAATGCCTAAAATATGCACGAAAACTGACAGAATATGCAACATTAAATGAGTTTTTTTTGTTTTATAAATATTATTCCTTTAGATTTAAGTATTTTGCGACGTGAACACTTGTCTTGACATGTTGGTCTATTTGAAACTTTTTAGTGCACGAAATGTTTTTCTCGCAAACTCGACAATATAAAACATTTCCGTCGTAAGTAAATGTTCCAGGAAATTCACTTATCCACGAAGACACCCTTTTTTCGGGAGGCATTGTACACACACAAAAACTTTTAACTGCAGGTGAATTATCTGCAGGTTAATTGTCAACAATCAAAGTAATAATGATATGCATAATAGGTGGGAGTAGCGCGGTAGCCGAGCGCGCGGCGGCGCGATCATTTGTCTCTTTCATTTTTTGAGTACCTACCAAAACAAAATACGCGCGGCTGCCGAGTGCGCTACGCTCGAAAAATACCTACCTACTGTAAATTATAGCAATAATATGCATCATCACTAGATATTAGTAAAAATATGCTATTAGCCTTGAAAATCGCTTAAATATGCAAATGCATATGCAAATATGCAAATGCATATTATCCGGTCTCTAGTTATTAGTATGCATAGACTTTAGTATGGTTGGTATATATCAGTGGTCTATCAAACCGTTAAAACTAAAAAGTGCTACTATTTATTTTCAGCCATGATCGTCCCGCTGCAGGACAAAGGCCTCCCTTTTCCACTCCCCTCTATGTAAAGCTTTTTGCGGCCAAACATTGTCATAGATGTCTAATTTGTCCCGCCTTCTCCTTTTGGGCCTGCCGCAACGTCTACTTACGTTGAGTGGGCTCCACTCAGTAGCTCAGTAGTAAGTTTTGCCCACTGCTCGTCTGACATGCGGCAGACATGACCAGCCCATTTCCACTTCAAGCCTGCGGCTCTATGGCCAACGTCAACGATTTTAGTTGTGGAGCGCAGCGTGGTGTTCCTACTTCTGTCCGATAGTCGAACTCCTAAGATACTGTGCTCCATGGCCCGCTGACAAACCTTGAGTTTGGAATTCTGATGTTTTGTCAAAGACCAAGTTTTAGCGCCATAGGTGAGGATGAGCAGAATGCACACGTCCATGTGCTTCTTTTTGAGCGCTAATGGAAAAATACCTTTCATTAGGTCTCTCATGGACCAACAGCTCTTCCAGGCATTTTCGGTGCGTCTAGCAACTTCTCTATCTTGTCTCGCCTGGAAAGAAACTAGTTGGCTAATATAATAATACTAGGTATATTCCATTTCCGCGCCATCTACCTCTAACCTATATTTTATTTTATGCTGTTGGTCATTAGATTGGTCTTTGACATGTTCATCTTCAATCCCACCTCAAGGCTGGCCCTGCTGAGATCGTTGATCATAATGCCTAGCTCGGCTACTGAAGAAGAGAAGAGTCATCATTCACATTCACACATCATCAGAGTTCATCAGCGAAACGGAGGTTTGTTAACCTCTTTTCCCCGATGACCACCCCCCTTGTACTTCAGCACGCCGCAAGCTTTTTGAAGACCTCTACAAGGGTTGCAGTGAAGAGTTTCGGAGATAGCGGGTCGCCTTGTTTGACTCCCTTAGAAATAGGGAAGGATTGGCCGAGTTTATGGAGTCTAATTGCTGTGATGCTTTCACGGTAAATGTTCTGAAGCAAATTGATTTAGGTGGGATAGATGTCTTGGTTGTTTAGTGCTGTGAATATTGATGAATGGCTAAGACTGTCGAAATCTTTGGAATAGTCTATGAATGCTATTTAAGAAAGTGTTACTGCCATGCCACCATGCCACAAACGAGTAAAGACATACTAGGTATCGTGTTGCTGTTGTGTAGTAAAAGCTGTAACCCTATGAAAATACCAAACAAATATTAGTCTGTGGTTTTCCTGTCAGTGGCAATGTCAAGTGTCAAAATAATCACATCACCAGTCATGTTCAGAATTGTTATTCCAAAGTTTTAGGTTATGTGTCAAATGTTTGGATTTTGAGTTAGCCAAGATTTGGAAGTCGATAAAAAAACAACAATTTTGAAAAACTTTATTTGACATAAAATATATTACTATGGCACTTTCATTCAACGCTCGTTCATTATTTAGAAGACTAGTGTTGTCTGACTTTAGGACCAATATTCGGTTTTATTCAGACCAAACAGAGGAGACTACTGAAGAGCAGAAAGAAGTTGATCCAACTAAGGATAGAACAAAAATAATACCCGTTGAAACTAGCATTAAATACATGCAGAGTAAGGCTTATCAGGAAGCTTATGGAGACAAAGCCATTTGGGTATTGTACCGACGTAACCACATCGGTGGTTTTGCTCCACGTAAAACCAGAAAAACTTGTGTCAGAAACGGAATAATATCTACTGGTAATCCTTGCCCTATTTGCCGAGATGAATATTTAGTTTTGGATCACAGGAATACAAAACTTCTGGAACAATTTATATCGGAACACACTGGACAGGTAAACATTAAAATAATGTTGTGATTGATAATTAATGACTTGTGTACTTCAAATATTTGTACAAATGTATTATTGAGAAAGAAAGGATAATAATATACATGTTCTATTCTGTATACAAAAATAAGTAAACAGACCAATTAAATCTAAATATAAAAATACCTTAGGGTTTGGAAATGGTTTTAAACTGATATTAATTTTTAACTGTTTCATTTTCAGATATTAGATGCATTTAAAACAGGTCTTTGTCAGAAGAAACACAAGGAGTTATTGGTTGCTATAGAGAGGGCCTGGGACCAGGGCTATCTCACGTATGATGTCCCATTCAGGGAGTATGATTACTCTTTATATAATAAAACTGCAAATACTGTTTAAATACCTGTGTAATAATATATTAGCTTAAATAAAAATAGAACATATAGTTGAATGACCTCTTTCATTGCACAATTTTGTAGGAAGCCCTTAAAGGTTATGGCACTAGAATGTTAATACATAATATACATCATCTGTTTTTGAAACATTTGTAAATAATTTATTCTATTTTGATATTATTTTAGTTCTTTCTTAAACACTTCAATGTCTTGGTTTTTGGGTAATTAATTAATTATTGTTACATTGTTATGTAACCAAATATACACAATATTACAGTTATTCACACTTATACTGCAACAAACAAACAACATGGTTTTAGTTTACATTATAATCTTTGAGTAAAGCAAAGAATTTAAAGTAAAACAAAGTAAGTAAGTCAAGTAGTAAGTAGGTACATAAGGATTGGAAAACAAAATTCTTCAATCACTTTGCCAAAGAAAGAACACCTGTCCTTACTGTTGTGAATTACAATATTACAAAGAAAAGCTTTTTGTTCCAAGAGCAAGGAAAAAATAATTTTCTTATTAGTAAATTCTTAGTAGATTTTTATCTTTACACACATAAGGGTATTGTACTATGTAAAAGTATCAATTAATTTTGATCTGTTCCTTTGAAGTAGCAGTTCTCTGATAAGTGCAGATTTTTCACGTTCCAACACTGTTATTCTCTCATTTTTTCGGTTGACTTCCTGAAAATTATAAAAATAATGTTTACTTACATCACTGTTTCAATAAGTCTTTCATGTATACAATAGAAAGTAAAATACGACGATGTTTGAATTCTAAATTGGGTATTTACAGTTTGTCTATACAGGTGTCCAGTTAATAGTGCACCATACTGGAGTGATAGCTGAGATCAATACCTACCTTAACAACCCAATATAATATATGTTCAGCGAAAATGTACGATTTCAAAACTAAACAACATTTTCGCTAATGTCGAAAAATCACTATTGTGATCCACATCTTTTAGTCTTTTAGCATATCTCAGTGAAAAATTCTTTTTGTACATAAAAATATTTTTTATCCGTGGATATATACTCTAATTATTGGTAGGTCTTTTTTATATGAGGAATAAAAGAGTTTTTATAAAAATAACTATTTCTTGTGTCAGTTTTCGTAGAACAATTTTCTTATTGTTATAGTACGAGAGATGACGACCAAAACCATGTCTCATAGCAATACGGCAAAAACCCTATAAAATCGTTAGATTGTATGATTCTGAACCCGACTAGGGGTGTAGTAACGGTCGAAAGTGTAGCAATTGCGTGGGAGGCCATTTCTGCTGTGTTAAAAATATCTGAGTATCGAAAAGTTGTCTGATAGAGAAGGTGCTACACTTATTTTGTCTGATATACATTTTTTGCACATGTGGAAAACTTATTTTATCATGTCCAACAATTTTCAGACCCATTGCCATGATACCGATCGGTAAAATTTGTTAACATTTTCAAAACGGTCTCAATATTTAATGCATTCACATTTCCGTCTGAAAATTGTTTTGTTCGCATCAAATAACCAAAATTTGGAATAAAAAAAGGTTTTCAGACGTATTGCTATGAGACATTTTTTTGTTTGGTGTTTTTGTGGTCAGATCAAACGCTACGCGGAAAATGTCTGATATTGGTATTTTCGAGTTCAGGATAATCGTATCTATCGATTTGAGGCGGTTTTGGCCGTATTGCTATGAGACAAAAATTTTAGTCGTTATCTCTCTAACTATTAGTAACATATTCAAGAAAATCAGCCTGTATTCGACTAGAATAATGTATTTTTCGTATATTCGTAACGAGAATGTACTATTATTATACCTTTCCAAAATAAATATTAAACGAGGTAATTATTGTGCTATTTTTATAAAATTGCCACATAATTTATTTTTTCACTGCTGTAAGTTAAGTTAAACTGACTGACTGACTGAACTGCCTCTTTGGCCGAGTGGTCGTAAGTGCGACTGCCGGGCAAGGGGTCTCGGGTTCGATTCCCGGGTCGGGCAAAGTATTACTGGGTTTTTAAATATTCTCAGTAGTAGCACGGAGTCTGGACTTGTGCCCGGTATATGGCAATAGGCTCACCCCCTATTACATGGGACTCATAACATAAATAGTGAAAAGTGGGTGTTACATTGTACAGTGGTAACGTGCACCTCTGCCTACCCTTTCGGGGATAAAAGGCGTGATGTTATGTATGTATGTGGGTCAAAGTAGTGATTTTTCGATATTTGCGAAAATGTAGTATAGTTTTCAAACCGTACATTTTCGCTGAACATATTATGTACATACGTGGTTGTTTGGGTGGGTATTGATTCCAGCTATCACCCCTCTCAGTGTGGTGCACGATTTACTGGACACCCTGTATATTTTAAAAATTAAAACAATATTCTCATTTAGTCATATTTTCGTAATGAACTCAAAATCCAATGAAAATGTTTAAAATTCATACCATTTCCAAAACAATAAATATTTCGAATTTGAAAATGAAATGCAGTGAACTCAAACTACCAGACGAATTTTCGCCTGATTTAGTCCGTTGTTTACAACTTCACAAGGAAGGTTTATTGTGACACTGTTGGGCTCTTCCAATTGGGTTTGGAAAGTCCATATCTAAGTTAAAATTGATGAAAAATATACCTCTGCAAGCATTCGGTTTTGTGATCGAAGTACCGTTGCATTGTTTGGCGTAGCACTGGTTCCTGTAGCGGACAGCGAAGCCGCAGGTAATGCTAAGTTCATATGGAGCGACAGCTGCCCATGTCGCCAACCTGCTGCCAATGCTCCCAGTTGACGATTCAGTTCCAATATTCGTGCTTTTAGTAATTCTAAACGCTCTTGATGCGCTTCACTCCATGGTTCCTGTAATATTCATAGAAATATTAGTATGAAACCTTTTATGGAGACATATTCTAATCGAATTCCCTACCTAAAGAAGTATCAGACAGAGCTGTCCTTTTGTCCACTAAAGCCCACTAATATTGACGAACTCGAATACATTAAAATAGGGCTAAGTACGTATCTACTTAACTAACTATAATTAACTAGTTAATTTCAAGTTAATTTTTAACCTGTGGACCATTACAATCGGTTACCTCGTAACTTATTAGAGAAACTTATAGGACGGCGCCTACGCAAAATTTCAATGCTGTAATATGAATCGTTTTCTTACTTACCTACTTAAATACAAATATACGTATAGATCTTTGCAAAACAAGGCTATTTATATGTATTACGCACATTGCGTTAATTAAATTACCTATTTTGAGTCTACATAATATGAGAACTTATTAAGTATTCATTCGAGAATGTACCCACACTAAGCAAAAAACTTGCTCGGCCATGACCCGAAAACGTGCCTAGGTAGTGCTGACTCTCAGACATTTTTCTTCAGACGTTCCTATACAGGAACTAACTATATAAATTTATTTTATTTACTCTATTTACCAAACGTTGATTTGGTGATTACTTAAGTGTAACATGACCTTATTTATTATTACAACACGTGATATGGCTTATTTTTTTTTCTTATTAGGTAATTACGAAAGTTTGCGTATAACGATTGCCTTTCTCGTTAAAAAGTAGTAAAACTGGTAAGATTTTAGAGCCCAAATATAATATTTAACATAGGTATTTTGATACTTTTAAATACAATTAAGCGGGGAGTCATTAAAATAAGAATTTAGAAATGCTGAAACTAATAATTACTTACCACATATGCACCCATTCTACCCGCGTAACGCATTTTTTCTTGAACTTCTGCTAACTGCTTTAAATACCACTCTCGAGCTTCTTCTACAGCTGATAAGCCTTGCAGAAGAACATCTTTCTCCTGCTCAATCTGTTTCATGCGTTTCAGAAGATTGTAGTCCACACCATTGTGCAAAGTATGGCGCCGAGGTTCACGCCGACGTGAGACTCGCCGCATTTGAGATTGGGTTTCATTCGCTGATCTTCCATCACCGAGACCTCTACTTTGTTCTTCTACAGCTCGAGACATTTCTTCAAAATCAATTTTATCAACAGATAACTCTTCACTGTCAAATACAATTTCTTCTTCAGATTTATAACTAGACTTCGATGTTTCATTTCTTTCTGTACTTGGTTTTTCAAGTCGTGGAGGTTTTGGAGGTCCGTAAACTCTTCGAGATCCGTCGTGTTTCGAAATAGTCACCGGTCCTAAGTGGCGGGGTTCTGGAACTAGGGCTTCTTTACGTCCTATTAGTTGGGGCATACTTATCGTGCGGTGTTGTGAAGAAGTGTCAGAGCTTTTTAAAACCATCCAATTTCTTTCTATGTTCTGGGAATCATTTACATCTAATAGCGGTGCTGATGGCGGCCGATGAGTTTGAGAGACCATTTGTGTATGTAAGCCTGTGCTTTCAACATCATCGCTAAATCTATCGTCTTTGCCCGAATTGTTATCAACCTGATTACGTAACAGGCAGATTTTGAGCCCAGTGCAGAATCTTTCAAAGGTTAACAGTCCATCGGGTGAAGCCACTTTCTGTAAACTTTCTATGACTCCTCGAGGTAAGCCTCTTGTACGATCGTCTCTCCAACGGTTTTCTATATCGGTGAGTTTTACATACCCAGTGTGTTTGTCGTCCATAATATCGAACAGGGTACGCATCGCCGAAACAAACTGTTTAGGTAATGATTCCATATTTCTGGAAGAAGCGCGATTCATGATTTTGAAATCTTCAACTAAGTAGTAAAATATTTCTCATTTTAATTCCACAATTCCACTGTAAAATTATACTATCAAATGTTAACTGATGTTCACTAAATCACAACAACATATCTACGGAAAAATGCATAATTTCAACATAACACATCACACGTCGCGCGCATTATTTAAAAGTTATAGCAACTCGAATTTAATTATGTGCTTCTTTTATAGAAATTATTGCGCACGTAAATATTTTGAACGTAAACTATTAACAGAAGTTCGACTAGATTATGAACTGTAAGTTTACAACGTACGAAGCACCAACGTCTGTTGTTTGGCCACATGAGGACAAAAATCTGACCGTTTGTCAAACGGTATGTGTAGGTATGGTGGGCGAACCAATCGGTCGTTGGGAGGGAATTTGCGAGAGATAATAGCCCACGAGTGCGAGCAGGAGAACCGGTCAAACGACATTTCGGTCACTTCGGCACCGAACAGGTACGCAGGTAGCTTAGCATAGGACAACGAGTAGGTCTGTCGCTGCAGTCTGTATGTGTTGTATCTTCAGGTGTGTCGTCTATAAACGATTTATATTCTCAAATACCTAATGTAAAGATATTAAATGATTTAAACATTTTTTTAAAGTTCTAGTTACTTACAAATACATAATTATCATCTCGTAGTTTTAATCTGTATGTCACCTTCTCACTATAGGTACAAGAACCTATATGTTACTCGATTGAGGACATTGACCTTACGTGTTATGTATTTTACATAAGTACCTATCTGTGCTTATTACATAGTTACTAATGTACGTTATTTTTGTAAAGTAGTTATCTACTTACTTACGTTATGGCGCGCATTCTTATAATAAAATTAACATAGCGTAGATATAACGCTGGTTCAGACCCAGAATCGAACCCAAGACCTCATAGGCTTATATTCGACAATCATTTCGACAACTCAACGAACAAGGTATTTTACAAAAACAGGTACATATTGAAAATGTTTCTTTCATTTACTAGTACCTCCTAAATATTACACAATTCCTACGATAGTTGCACGGTTAGCGCGGTGGTTGGGTGAATACCTGCTGTGCAACGTGTCACGGGTTCGATTCCCGCGCCGCGCCGGTCAAAAAGTGATACTTAATGCCTTTTCTGAGTAAAATGACCATTATTAATAGGTACGGAGCCAGGAAGATCGGCAGTGTTTCACCCTCGTTTCTTGGAACGCACGTAAAGTCGTTGGATCCGCGCCTGACCTTTCACCGGTCGTGCCGGTCTGCCGACCCATCGGATTCAGAGCAGAGAAATGAATGAGGGAACAGAATGCGCTGGTGTTTGTACACACACTAGACTTGAAATGCCTGGGGTCGCTGCCATCGCAGCGGTAAGTCCCCTCTTTGAGGAGTGGCTTGAGAGACGCTACAGCGTCCTCACCTACCGCCTGACGCAGGTCCTCACCGGACATGGAAGTTTCGGGAGGTACCTGTGTCTGATGGGGCGGGAGGAAACGCCCGGGTGTCATCACTGCGAGGAGCGCCCTAAGGACACGGTGGGAGAATGCCCTGCGTGGGCTGAGCACCGCCGTGCCCTCAGGGAAGTGATCGGCGATGGCGACCTCTCGCGTCCGGGCCTAGTGCAGGCCATGATGCGGAGCGAGGGGGACTGGAATGCCGTCTCCTCCTTTTGCGAAGCACTCATGCTAGCTAAGGAGGAGGCGAGACGTGTGAGGCAGCGAAGCGCTGCCTCCTCGCAACCCAACCATCGCGAAGGACACACCGGGCGTCGGGGATCGCGAGACGATCTCCGGTCACCGTAAGCGCGGGCCTGCGGACGGCGAGCATGGGTGGCTCCCCGTCCGACCAGAAACAGACCCGAGCGTACGGCGCGTCGCGTTCCGCGCGCGCCTCAAAGAGCCATCAGACCACCGCAGATGAGGCCCAACAGGGCCGATGCCGATTCGGAGTCGCGGAGAACCTAACGGGTAACCGGGGCTCCGGCTCGACGTGCAGGAGAAGGAACGGGGTGGTTTTTAGTCAGTAAGAGTCCGCCTCACCCAGGCGGGAGCAGTCATTCGATGAAAAAAAAAGGACTTGAAATGACACGATCGAAATCGATGGAGAGAGATAAATATTAAAAAAAAAGAACAAACTAATACATATTTGTGATCGCCCTTAGACTATGACTATAGACTATAGAGCAGTACGAGAGTACTCGACGAGTAAACCGATCATCGACAATTGCTATGACATTATGACCGTGATGTCATGACAAAACATCTGTCTCTATGACTGATGTCCAAAATTTCTGCTGCTTAGCTTTTCTGATTCCAATCTCATTCCAATAATCTATATCAATAAGTTTCTATTAATTAATTTCCCACGCAAAATATACAGAATAGGTATAGGTACGGTTAATTCATGAATTGTGAAAAATAACTTAGTCAAACGACGGTTCTACGCAATAGTGTATCGAAATAAATAAAAATATGAGTAATGCAGGAATTAACAGTGAGTTACCTGAAGTTAAAGAAGTAAATGGCAGTATAAATCAAGATAAAGTTCGTAAAGGATGGGTAAAATTCGATGATGAATCTCCAAAAGCTGACAATGAAGGATCAAGTGTACCCACCGCGGGAACCAGTACATCCTCCGCACCGACTGAGTCTGCTGCTGTTCTAAAGACGGAAAGTGTTCATATAAACTTGGAAAGAGGAGACAAAAATGTCGAGCCCATATCATTAAGCACATTATCTAAAAATGTTGAATTTGTCAATGTACGCTCAGGATTCTGTAAGTATTTACATATTGCCAGTTTAGGTAAATTATTAATTGCTTTTAATTTTTTTCCTAATTTAACAATTTGATATTACAGCTAATGGTGATATAATTGTGACTCTGCTTCCTGTAAATTCAAAATGGCCTTGGGTGACAGCAGCCCGTTTTAGACCAGAACTTGTACCTGAGGAATTGATGGCACAAGGCTTGACTGTGAGTTCTCTATCATCTATGTGATGTTTGGCTTATGTTGATGTTATGTCGCTGGCATGGTGTTAATGTTTGTTTCCTTTCAGCTCACAGTTGAGGAGTATGTTCATGCGATGGAACTGCTTATTAATGATGCTCGTTTTACTCTGTACAACATTTGTTACAAGCGTGTGCTTGTTTGTTGGATAACGCTTGCATTCCTTGTGCTACTGGCACTATTGTTTTCTGGCCTGACGGGTCTTATTTTGTTTTCTCTTGGAGTATTATGGCTGATATTGAATGCAGCTGCGATTTTTCTGTGCATGTGGATAAAATTGAGACTGTCAAAAGGACTGGAACAATGTTTGGCAAGAGTTAACAAACTACTCAGTAAACATAAATTGATTCTGGCTCTGGATGATAGAGGAAAAATATCTTGTCACAAAGTGAATCTCTGCTTTATATATTTTGATTCGGGCCCATGCATTGCACACATACAACAGTTTATTGATAGTGAAGAGGGCAAAACAATAATGCAGGGCTGGGAACAAAGACTTGATGTACCAACTAATGATATTGTTATACAAGGCACACAATCAACCAGGTTGTCAAGGAAACAGGTATGTTTGGTTTTGTTACTTATTGTTTCATAACAGCTTCAACTCTTTAAGTAGTTTTACTGGGCAGTGTAGTTCAGTAACAAGCTCAATTGGATAATACTGTTTGCAAATATATTAAAATATTGGTGGTACACAGAATAGTTACTGGAATTCAATTTTGATAAAAACTGGTACTTGTCTCTATTTAGTTTGAATGTAATTCTTATGCCATACCTAAGCATTCTAATGCTTTAATTTCACACCCAATGTCTAAAAGAACTAACAGTACTAATTTCTTGTGACACAAATGCCTTCATGTTGTGTTGGAAACAGCTTGCATGATTTATTGCTTACTAATCTTATAGGAACTAAATAATAACTTTATAATATTTGGAATTCAAGTATAAGCAAAAAATATAATCTGTTGTTTTTCTTTGTGCATACAATAATTATAAATTTTGAATTAAAGTACTGATAAATGGAAAATTTAAGATAAAAGCTATCTTAAATTTTGTGGTACATCCATAAAATTTAAGATAGCTTTGTTTTTAGTTAGATAGTCATGTTTTTAGTTTCTGTATAGTAGTGTAGAACTTTATGTTATGTATTAATGGTATGCTGTGATTCTGGTTGCTTGGAATAGATAACTGTTTCCTTTGCATCTTATCATAACATCTCTGGTACTTGTTATGGGTAATTTTATTTTAAATTGTAATAATAATCCCTTAAGGTAGTACATAATACAATTACAATCACTTCATCAATATGTCTGCACGGTTGGTGCGGTGGCTGGGCTGGCTAAAAAAAAACCAATGAAATTACTCCCAACCTGAGTAAGAAAAATCTAGTAATAAAATGTGTATGTATGTATATGCCTCAAATGTTTCTTAATTAAGTAATCTTAAAGACAACTGGTTAATGCCAGTCTTCACCTAGGTGAGGTGAGTGACAAGTAAGCTAACAAGTAAAACAATTTACTTGCAAACAACATATAGAAAGAACTTTATAAGAAGTAAGAAGTAACTTTATAAGAAATAAAGTAATGTTACACATTAATTTTATTAACACATGCATTCTTAGTAAATTGAAGTACCCGACATGCAATGTATCAATGTAGTGTAGATCACTTTGTTCTGACTTAAATGATTGTGAATGTTCTAACACCATCCACTCTCATTACCGATTTCTTAACCTCTAATGAATATGATTTATATTTGTTTGGCAAGTTGCATTTGGATTTCCCCAAGTAATGGAGATACCCTCCCTCGCTCAACTCTTATACAGTTTCCCTATTGGTATTCATGCATCTGCATACAATACATAAATTGATGTTGAGAAAGTTTACTAAGCATGCAACATATCAGACTTATCTGAATACCGTTTATTTCTGCTTAATAATGCATGGCTATTTATTGTTATTTATTTACTATATTTGATACTTTACATTTGGTTACATTTCAATTTATATGAATATTATTTTATTATATAGATACTTATCCTTTATTTATTACACTTAACTAGTTTGGTAGACACATCTAGTTTTTGGTGGGTAAGCAAGGCATACGAATGTGCAGGGTATGGCAGAGCAAGTGTACCTCCGGTACCTGCAGCGGTGGGGGAAAGACTTTCTGCGCCGCCGGCTCGACTGGACTCTTGACGAGGAAGGCGGCAACCCCGCCGCCCCGCGACATTTAACACAGGCGCTCTGCCCTTGTCAATATGTTGAGGAAGTATTGCGGAACAAAGAGCCCAGAGATACACGCGCTTGTTGCCCACTCTGCAACGATTGGCTCAGACGTCGCGGTCTTGACTGACCAAATGTCTTCACTTTTGGCAAGTCTTCAGATTTGATATTGTATACGAAACCTCAACTTGAGTTGTGTTGCATTAAGTTTATAACTTTATTTTATCTTTTCTTTCACAGGAACGAGGCGCTCTTCTATTCCTACGGTATGCGGGACGTTGGGGAACACTGGTTGTTAAAAATAAACTTAACTTAAGTACGCTCGTTGCGGGACGTCATGGCGAGAAATATGTTTGTCCCTGTCAGTATATAGAAGAGCACCTAAAGGTAAAACCTCCTGCAGGCATTGCAAAATATTTTACTCTTCCTCACCAGAATGTTCAAATTTATTAATCAAAATCATTAATATAAAATATTCAATTTAACAGCATTATTCAAATGGTATATATAATACTAAACTTTCCGTCCATAATATTTAATATATTATACATAATCATTATTAGCCTAGCCATAATGGAAAACGTACTTAGTTTCATGATATTTTAGTTGATAAGATTTATGTATGAGTATGAGCATTGTGTAGTAGTATAAGAGAGTAATAAGCCAGTTCTCGTCGCGCTGTATTAAACAATACATTTCTATGTCTCTGAAAATAAAAAATTGATTGGCCTTGTGTTACCAAGTATAATTCTCTTCTCTAATTGGTAAACAGTATTTTATTCATTAAGTGGACATTAGCGACGAGGGCTTGCTTACCTAAACAAGATAATCATACATATCTCCTGGCCCAACCGTTTAGGTATAATATTATTATTCAATCATCGATTAAGTCCATCAGCATGTAATCTCGAATTAAGAACCTCAATTATACCTGGTTTATGTATGATATTATAACTTAGTTTAATTTTTTATCGAATTTTATGTCAAGTGGCCATACATTTAAGCCTTTGCTGTTGTACAGAAATAAGTAATTATATTGGAATATATTTTAGTCTCATAAAACTGATAAAATCGAGTTTATTGTCGATTTTTTTTCTTATTGTTATTTATTAGTTTTTATTTCTAGTTTTTGATAAAATCAACAGATATTATATGCAACTGGTGCAAATTTGCAAAAGCTTGATTATGAACATTTTTTAATAAAAGTGAAAACTGATTGGTCTCGAATGTGCATATATATAAACTAGTACACCTAATGAAATCGGAATATAAAAAAAGATGCAAAATCACAATTGCACGGACTAGTCATCTACAGTAGCTAAACTGCACAACAGTGCTAAAATGATTCATAATATAAAACCAAAGCTCAAAGTGTGAAATTGTTTCAGAATTATTTTATAAATAAAAAAAATGATTTATTTTTATTATGTCCCTTTTAAATCGTTTAAAAAGATAAGTTTACTTTGTGATTAGGGAGAAACAAATGTAATTAATAATAATGTTACCTAAAGCATTATATTTCATATATTTTAAACATAATATGTCTTAGTAATTGTCACATACATTCCGTTCAAATGTATTTGTAAAGATAAGTACACAAGTATTATAAACATGAAGTGTCGCCACCTTATCTGTAACCACTGTTCAAGCGGGGATTGTTAGGTAATTAAGAGCCTGTCTGTTTTAACCGAATTTGATTGGTGTGATTATTTTTAGTTGTAGGATGAAGATCTTCAACTTGTGTAATTTCTAAAAGTCCATATTGTCGCCAAAGTTTATAGTTTGTACCTACTAAGGCAGTTAATAGAGTAATATTTTTTTATTATTTAACTTTGGTGGAACATGGCATCGACGAATATTAACAATTTTAATGAATATTTCTAAATAAAATTTATAATTGATAGAAAATTTACGTAAATGTCGATGGAAAAACTATAAAACAAAATATTACTGGGTAAATTGTTAAAATTTGTTTTTATTAAAGTAAATATACTTGATTAGATTTAAGTACAATGAACATTGTATATAGTTCATAATGTGTTAAAGAAACTATTTTATGGGAGAGGTGGTGGTACTGTAAATATAAAAGGCTGACAGCTAAATAAAACGTAACTTACGTTACTTCTTTACAATGAATAATCTTCAAATAATACAGGCACTCTTTATCGAGACTGATTATGAAATGTTTAAATTATCAATTTACTTGGGACATGTAACATATCTTACTGAAAAACGTACTAGGTACTTTTAACATGTGCATCTTTGCTTACCCTTCCGAATAGTAAATGTGATGTAAACGAAATCTGTAGTCGTATTTGAAAATAATGATTAGATATTAGAAAAACATTGACGATTTTTTGCATTAAAATTACTTTATATATTCTCACTCTACTTTTCTATTTGTCATCGTAGCAACTATATTATAAGTACCTACCTACTGTTACCTCAACAATTATGGATAGTCTACCGAATCTGTTGTTTTCGCTAATTGTCTAATTTCTGTTTTCGCTGGTAGCAGCAGCTAACGTATTAGACGTAATATTACAAATATGACTACATATTTCAGCGGATATAGTAAACTCAAAAAATAAATAAATACTTACACAAAGAGAATGCAGCTATATGTATTCTTCTGTCCTTCTTACTTAGATGAAGACGATGCACCCACGTGCGTCCCTCTTGTTTGCCCGCGGTAAATAGTATACAGTGTAATTATATTACTTACTTTTTACTAAATACAAATAAGTATTCATAACGTTGTGATTAATATAACATATTCCGTCCTAAATATAATTGTAAGTATTAGGTATTAGTCTTATAAATCAGTATACCTTTACTTACATTATTATTATTTTTATGTAATTATGTTGAATAATATATACATATTTTTATATTGTGTTTTATTTCATATCTTTTGTTCGACCCCGCCCAACTGTTGATATATTTAATGGTGCAGCAGTGAACTAAAAACTGTTAGCCATGCAGGTACTTCATATTATCTATCTATACAAATATTAGATAATCGGGAGATTATTGAAATAAAATAATTGGTTTTCGAGTCAATAAATTTATTAAATTACTAAGAAGAGTAAGATAATAACATTTTAACATGAAATTAATAAGTATTAATATAATTTGGCGTCAAACCATGATTTAACTTCTAAATATCCCAGAATAGAGAAATTACAAATATTGCTTATTAAGTTATTCATACAAACCTAGCAAGAATCTATGATTTTATTGTGGGGTAGGTAGGTTGGTACGTAGAAGCTGGAAGGGACAGGATAGGTCAGATCAGTCGATTTCCAATGTCCATAGCGAGACACGTGCGACGATTGTCATTTCTTCTGTCATTAGGAAAAGCAGGAACAAGTCATATAGGGTATAATTCAAAATTAAGATTATTTATTGCATCTAATTTTTAGAAATATCTGCCTAGCCACCCAATGGGTGCCGCTAATATTGTGCAAGGTGATGCTGTCTTACATTTCGTTCTTTCGTATCAGAACGGGGTGAAAAGAATTCGAGGAATTCTATCCATCCCGTTCTACAGTTACAAGAAATAGCTTTGTTACAAAAATTTTGCGGTGTAAGTAAATTGATCAGATTGACCCGTTTAAACACCAATTATGTTCATTTGAAGAATGGACTTGATCATAAGACTTGGGACTTGACTAACTTACGAGAAGTTAAGTACGATTTATAAGGCACAAAGAAATCGATGATTTAATTTTCTACATACTATGTAGTTAGGTAGCAACTTCTATAGAAAACCTTTCGATAAGATGTAAGCAGTGTTCAGCGAGACATAAAACAGCAACTACACTACCCATATCGCATGTTGTTTTTAATAATAATAAAAATGCTTGATTAACGAATACTACTACGTGCTTTGTACATACTATAATTAATTTTAAGTGCGTAAGTTAATTTTCTAAATGGTCATAATCATAATGTATGACTGGAAGCCTTTTTGTCTAGCTAGGTATCTACTGTTAATGTTACAAGACCTTACAAAGTGTGTATTACTAGTGTATCTGCTCAAGTCCATCAAATGTACGAAATAATAAGTTAGGGAATTGCCATACGAACCATCGTCAACCAATATATTATGTACATACGTGCTGAATTATTGACTATAGCAAACTGATAAAATATTAAGCTCAATATGCAACTTCTCTTATGAATGTATGAAAATGAACTCAAATGTGTTAATGGGTAAGCATAACATTAACAATTTCCAAAACTTGTTAGACATTTAATAGAACCACAATTCACTATCTTGATCCGATACCTTTATGAAGAATCAGGTTGATCCTTTGTGCAGACATGTTACAGAAAGACATAGGTTAGAGACATTTAAAACAATAATTTTTAAATTAATTATATTTTATACTTTAAATAAAGCCACACCTTAATTTTTAATATCGAAAAAAGGAAAGGACAAAACTAAAGTTGATTAAATAAAACTCAAAATTGGATCACAGAAACAATATTTATTATAAATAATGTTTATGAAAATATAAAATAAAAAATAACGTTTTGATACTTATCGTTAATTACAAAAAGAGTTTATGTGTGAATGGTTACATGTTTTGTTTCTCGGGAACTTGTTGATTTTTTTACAATAAGTATAAAAAAATATCACAGTAAAATCTAAACATAGCCTTGTATTAAACTATGTATATTTTGCAATTCTATAATTTATTTCGGTATAAATGGAGAATGGCGCTTGAGGTTGAATTTTATAAATTGTATTTATAAGATAACATGTTTGACTTATACAACTATTTTAAGAAACCTATTCTAAAAAAAGAAATGGATAGGTATTTATTAAGGTAGTTACGATATGTCACTGTATGTTACTGTTTTTTTCGAGTTATTTGTTTAATACTAAAATATAGATTTATCATAATATTAACATTTTATTCCTGTATAATTTGTTTTTACTACCTGCCTATTTTTAATCTAAAACAACTAAATCCAATACATTGGTAAATATAGAAAATCCACTACATACAGGTAAGACTACTAACACAATAATTTAATATTATAAACATCATATTATCAAAAATAAATTCGTAGTTACACATGTCTACAGCCCTACATAAAGCAATTGATTTTATAAATCGTTTTACACATAATACTTAAAATGAGGTGTGTTGGTTCATGCATCAATTAAAAAAAAACTGATGATACAGAAGTACAGTACCTATCTCAATATTACGCTTCAAAGGTCATAAACAATGTATTTGGTTTTCATTCTAAAATTTGAGCAAGTATTTATAGGGATCTAGATAATTTGCTATGACTTATATTTTAATTTCTACGTTTCTTCTTTTTTGGCAGAAGTTTAGAAGTATCGCAGGGATACGGATACGGTTTCATAATGTTATCTCGATCTTTGACTTGGTCTTCTTTATTGATGGGCTCTATAATGTCTTTGTCATGTTCTGTTCTAGCATCATCACAAACGATTGATTCTAGCGATGTGACAGTAGACCGGTCATCAATAGCTTCACGAGCACTAAGGTTGAAGAATGGTCGATCTTCAAGGTTCACGACATAGTTTTCATGTTCCGAGCTAGAAGGTTTGGTAGAAGCCTCATCATCAAGAGCAGCTTGGTGCATGAGTTCTCGCTGTGACTCCCGCGCTTCCATCAGGAATATGCTCTCCTGTTTTGCCACAACACAATAAAATAAGAGAGGTTGTAAATAAAACAATAGAACTGTAATTAGTCACGTTTGTTGTCTGTTGATTCATACATGGTGCACGAGATCAGTGTTGGGCTACTATAGACTTGTAAAATTAGTTAAAATTACACGCGGCTTAGTACGAATTTAGACCCTCTGTAGAGAATTGCTTACTTGACTTAAAATAATTGATTAGCCACATATGATTGTATGGATTTGTTTATATTTTTAAATATTAATAATTTCCTTTTTACAATACATATAAATATGGTTATCAGTAGTTAAGGCATGTCAATTAGAAAAAGCTAAGCTAAACAATTTTGACGTGTATGTTAAAATAGTGGCTTAGTGAGACATAAAGAGTTGTTGGTACTGGTATTGTTTTTAATTAGTTTAAAGAAGCTTAGTATTCAAGCACATAGAAATTGCCTTATCCTTATCGAGTAAAAAATACTTGCATAATTCCATTTCATACATATCCTTACATAACTCTCATAGTTACCGCTTTCAAACATCCATAAGAATACAACTGCAGCTTTAACTACATTAAAAACTTAATTTCATATTTATACAAATGTAGAAAATGGCCTACGTTTGATAACTCCCTCACATAATCTAACAACATTAAAATTTTGCAGTTATTGTCCGCAACAGATATTCCTCAATAAGGCATCGGAAGTGAGATCTAATATAGCGATTGGGCTCATAATATTCCAAATTCACATAAACCAAATTAAAAACTTGTTACTTACAAATAAAGAAATTGTGTCATTGCTCAAAAAATCAAAGTAAAGCTACTCTACTATGCTACAGATATTAACAACTTGTGAAGTTGTGAAAAATAAATAAATACTAAAACTTAACATGATAAACTACGCCAATATGAAAAACTTTGCAGAAACGCGATAATCTAATCAAATTTTTACTAACAGCTCAATATGTCTCACTGAGGTATGTACGAGTTTATATAATTAAATGGAGGAAGACCAGCGCGTGAAGCTAACGAACTGTCGAAAATCTCTAACTGATTGATTTACAACCTTATTGTTAAATCTCTCGCGGCTTCACCTATAACATTTCGAATAGGTCTCGACACTAGAAATCGGAATTTAAACAATACCCTCTCTACAGTCGGATAAAAAGACATTGTTACTCCCTGTAAAATAAACTTTCCAATAGTTTTGATTGTTTCAAATTTATACAGTAATTTCAGAGCCTATTCAATATTAATATCAATACAAACAAGCAAACCTTTCCTCTTTAAAATTTGTCTGTATTGTAAAGGCGATAAAGTTGAAAATGTATAATTTAACAGTTTAAGGTAACTTGACGAGCTGGTTTCTGTGCTTAAATATGCAAATGCATTACCTTCACATCTTTAGTGGTGTACTGGTCCAACTTGTCGTATATGACAGCATGGAGTCCCATGTCTTTGAGTTTCTTCACGACACTTTTGTTGACTATGTCGTCACCCCAACAGAATATGATCAAACCAGCGTCTGTTGCGAGTTTCACCTGTATAGAAGTATGTATGTAGGTTTAATTAGGGAAATTAACTTCGTATTGAGCATTTTATTTTTAATTCTGGGGGTAAAACTTCAGGAAGAAAAAGAAATAATTGTCCAACGAAAGGTTATAAGACAGACTGACAGTGAATTTAATCCGATACTCAAATCTCAAATTGAAAGTATTACATCACAATTTCAATTTCAACTAAGTTCAACTTAGGGTTAGATTTAGCTATAAAATTAATACATATGTCAAAATATATGTATAGGTGCCAAGGCTCTGGGCAAAACCAATCAATAAAATCACGATCTTTCATTTCTATCTGACATTCTGTCTACCTGTTATCAAATCACGTAAATGGATGGATTTCGATGAAGTTTTCACTGTTGCTAAACAAAAAACTAACAGCAATTGTGATTGTAAATGATAAATTAGAATGATTGTTGTGTACGAAAGGTATGTAAGTTATTTTGATAATTGAATGCATGGCCTGAAAGACAAAAGTGAGCATAAATGCGTAGAATTTCATTGTAGGTCGACAATGCATTAGTAATGCTTCTAGTGCTGCAGGTGTACCACTAAAGCACGACTAAAGCTAAGGTGACTGCTTGCTACCAGGCAGACCAGAAAGTTGTTGCTAAGGACATTAGATTAAAAAATTAACCAAGAAACAATAGTTGCAGTAAACAAAGACCACTTCTCTCGCGTATTAAACCCAGGTCGAAATGCACAATTGCGCATCAAGCGTATATGTCATTCGTTGGTACAAAGATCAGTCGTACATATTAATACTGGATAATATCTACTGTCACAAATTGATCCTACCCATGTTCTGTGTCATCAGTTTGTTAATTTCAATTCTATACTCATGTAAACGCTTAAACGATGATGGGTGAAAGGTTCTCTTATCTATCATATTACCAACACAATTAATTGCGCTGTTGTTATATGGAGATATGATAAACATGATCACATGATAGCATAATCGCCTTTATGAAAAAATATGTACCACATAAGTATCAATAAACAGAAGATCGATCTAAACAGTTAATAATGCGCGATTATGACGTAGAATAAACTGTAATCTGTCGTGTCGAAACCCGCCTCGCTAATGGGGATATCGGCCGAGTTGGACATTGTCAATCCTCACGTGATCGCGTCGAGTTATATTTATATGGACCGAGGTCGCAAAGATTTTTTTATATCAATCTTGATCTGAACGTGCTACCTAATCAGTAAAGGTACACAACTACACACATTCGAATTTATGATAAACCTAGCGTGATACAGTCACATGCAAAAATATTGATACAATTACAATTGGCTTGAACATTAATTATTATTACTACTGATTAAATTCATGTTTACTTACGTTTACCTTTAACTAGAAAGCAGAATGATTTGTTTTATTTGCATACCAATTAGATAGGTTCTGCGAAACTGCTATAATAGACAATGTAAATATTAAGAGTTAAAGATCATTGAACGGATGCTGTGTGTGTGACTTGTGTATTATCTGTACACAATCTACAAGTGCATCGTCCGATGAAGAGTAAGATAAGATAACATCTTAAAATATTCACCTGAGTTGGATCTCTGAGCAAATCTTCAGTGTGTACAACGACCCCCAATATTTCCGTACTGACTGCGCTCTGTACGGCAAGTGGTATGCTGGAACATCTAGCATCGCGGTATGGCTGGTATCTTTTTGTTATACCCTGAAAGAAAGAAAAACAGAATTTTCTAACTGTATAAACAAATATATATAAAGATAAAGCTACATTAAAATTTCATCTGGCGTCCTTCCAAAAGAATGAGTTCACTGTGTTATGTAGGTAGATTTTGTTGTATTTTACAATTTCAATACAATAGAGTACTGAGCACATACATACTGGCTACGACAAAATATAATTTTGGCTAGAATCATAGCTTTCGAGACTTCCTGCAAAACATGTTATTTAACGAAATATTGTAGTCAACAACACATTGCATGAACAATGTTTTACAATACTCGGACATGCAACGTTGCCAATTTGCAGATTTCGTTCTACTTCTGTCGACTATCGACTTATAAATTGTTCAACATTAGTATACAATAGAATCAAGTGGAAATTAATACTTACAATAGTTAAAAACATCACAGGATATTTATTCTGCTTTTGTCTGACCATCGTGCAAATGTCGGGGTTGAAACAAGAGAATATAATGCGGCGATCACCGGCGTGTTTTAGAACAGTTTCTAAAACCTGTAAGGGAAATTAATTGATTTTCGTATTGATGAAAGTAAGGGCAAGTCGTTGTAAAATGGTAAAAATTCTCTAATTTAGTTTAGCATAAATGTGCAACTGCATGATGGGCTAAATAACTTAAAATTATTGAAACAACACTACATTTTGTGCAAATATAGGTACTATTATTTATAAATCTGCATGAATATGTAAATAATATCGTCCGTAGCTTCATGTAATAAGGACAACAAGCACATTTGCGTAGGTAATAAAATTTTGTAATTACTGTCAGTCACTCACCTTGTCTACGTACGTATTCATATCGAATGGGTTGTTCAATTCAAATGTGCCATCATTCAATTCCATGGTCCACTTCAACTCCACATTGAAACCAACATGTGGATCAATTTTTTTCAAAGTTTCTTCTAAAGTAGGAAAAGGTTGGTGTTCTTCTAATTCGTCATCGAAAAATAATGTTTCTTGATTACGTCCTTCAAGTAGGTGATAAACCTATAAAGAGTAATGAATGAACATTACGATTTACGATCATTGGCACGCGTGTAACGAGTGTTAGTCAGCCTGAAAATTAATTATTAACGACATTCATTGTATTAGACTTGCTTGTGTAAGATATTTACACTTTTGAATTAAGTTACTTACCTCGTTTTTTTTTTAATAATTGTATTTATTATTCTAAAACTCATAGTCAGTAGTACATACCGCTAACCTTCTGTAACCATTATGAATCTGATCCCACCCCACTTCCCACCTAAGTCGACAAAAAAATTCGAAGCCAAAATCTGTAGCGACGAATACGTCAAATGTCCGCAGTTAGTAGCCGCAACGTATAAATCCCCATTGCTGTTGCGCAACGAAGATCGTTATAATCATAGAAGTTGCTGGATTCTCAGTCTACACAAAAATGAAGAATGAACCTTTGACGGATCTTAAACTTCGAAACATAAAGTAGCTGTAACATTTTAAATGAAATATTGAAATAGTTATCAGCCAGTACATCTCCAGGATATTTTTAAACATCATTTTATCCCCTCGACCTACTAACACTACCACTGACAATAATTTTCATTGATGACACAGAATAAAATATCTTAATGCTAGTAAAATAAGGTACAAAGTTGTATGAAGTTCAATGTAAAACATTAAAGTAGGTATACAAGCTCCCTTCTTTTAAGTTGTTTAAGGATGATTGATAGTTGTGTTATTGGTAATACAATTTAGACATGCATAATCAAAATAAAAGAAATTCCACTTTATTTAATAAGTACTGCTAAGTTGCTTTATAACTGTCTGCTAAAACTACACTTTAAACTGTCAACACGAGGACACCGGTGACCGCAACCTATTGTTCTTTAATTGTGTCTATAATGACGGTACTCAAAGTGTTAACTCGTTGAAATTCATCCCCTAAATTTCTTCATACAAAAGTAGTCTCTAAACATTGGAAATAAGGTCTATAATGTAGTTAGTGGAGAGCGGTCACCAGTGACCACTTGGATGATGTATGGGAGTACCGTCATTATAGACACAACTAAAGAACAATAGGTTGCGGTCACTGGTGTCCTCGCGATGTTTGACAATTTAATTCATTTGTACTTGTTTTAATTTTGATAAATTCAACACTAACTGTTTATAGTGTTTAGTTAAGTTACAATTTATTATTAGAAGGTTAAACATATCTTATTAGATATGTTCATAGTAGAGTGCATAATGAATATTTTTTTCTAAATGAGTTTCTAAAAAAAAGTCTACAATCACTAATTGGAATCAGAATAAAATTGTAAGATAATTACTTAGTGTTTTTTCTCTGAATGTGGATGAGGGTTTTTTAAGTAACAACAGAATGCACAACACATGCATGCATTATTAAAAATATGAAACTTTGTGATAAGTTGTATAGACTATGGAATACATACCTTTAATTTTTGTAGATGCTCTAAGGTCAAATCCTTCACAGGTACTTCCAACATTTCTGTATGTTCAACTTCTCTCTTTCTTTTCATTGATATACATACATAAAAATCATGATAAATGACTGGCACCATATCCTTACTTAGCTGAACATCGAATTCTAGTAAGTCTGCCCCACTGGCAGCTGCCTTTTTAAGAGATGCTATGGTATTTTCACGAATAGCATCCCCACTGAAAACAATAAAATAAAATTAAAATTAATTCCCAGAAAATAATATTATGAAGATGAACAACAAAGGAGGTAATTTAAAGTACTCACTCTTTGGTTTTAAAGCTAGCACCTAAACCTCTATGTCCAACTTCTAAACCAGTCCAAGTGGGATCCCAAAATTTTCCTAAAGACATGCTGAGGTCGCAGAGTTGTTCAGGCATAGGGTTCACAATTAGGTACCCAATATTTACTGTTCCCAAAGGCCTATGTTTGACATTACAAGTCACAGGTAAATCAAGAGCACCCTCTGAGGACTTAAACATATTTGGAAGAACATATGTGTAACCCACATGGCATGGTGGGTCTTCTGATGCAGCTCTGCTACTGTAGGCATAGAAGTCCACAAGATATGCAAGAGCATTTATATTAGGAGCTGTGACATTTATTAGTAACACATCATCTTGCTTGTAGTCTCTGCCAAATTGATCCTGTGGCTTCATAACACAGATTGCTGGGTCATCATGGAGTGTTGACACATCAACCAGTACCCCACACTCAGGACCAGCACTAGCATCAGTGCTAAGGGATGAATCATCAACCTGTGCATCTGCACCAAATGATAATTTAACAGGCGTAATTTTTATACGCAATAATCTTTTGGCTAAACAACTCTGCAGTTTCAATGGATTATTCATAAACTTGAACTGTAGCAATGTTGACACTGTGAGCCAACCAGAATATACCATATGCTTATTGTCGCAATAGCCATATGTGTCGGTAAAAGGATGAAGATCTGTTTCTTTTATAATGCGTGGCTGCTGATGTGTTTCCCATTGACGAATTATTATTGCATTAGAGTTGGCTTCATTAACAATACATTTACCATAACGATACAATATATCACAGGTGTTTGGAATTGTAATGGATTTACACCACAAATCTGTACCTTCTTCGCGGTCAAGTAACACAACCTTGTTGTTGTCCCACTCACCGAGCGCTGGAATACTTCCCGTGATGAACATTTTTTCTTTGGGGCCGACATCTGGCGCATTCACCGTGAAAGTCCATATTTGAGTCATTATTTTACCTTCATGGTCAGGTGGTTTCTCAGCCATTTTTTTTGGTCGTTTATATTTTGGTTTTTTCGGGTCTTCTAAAAAAAACCAGCGTTGCATCTTGTAATAATTGGTAACTCTTTTTTGGGTCAAAACATAACAAAATATAGATTTAAACATATGAAAAATACACACCAGAATATTATAACATTAAAAATACATTTTCCAAACCAATTTGGCCTTTTTACTCGGCTATTGAAGCAGCGAGCGACCCGTCTGCGCCAGCCAGCTTCTCACGACAAGTGACAACAGTGACAACTGACAACACAACTGTTATCTGACAGTGACAGTGATGAAGAGACAACTGAATATCAACAACAACGTCAAAAAATTAGAAACAAATTGTCAAATCATAATGACAATGACATTGTAAAGTCTGTCTAACATCATGGTGCAGCACTAACGAAATCTTGGCTGTTTTAGGCTTGTTCTACACTGTCGTATTATTTCTTCTTCACCCTCTTAATTCCTTGTGCTGGAATCAGAATGTTGCAGTTACGATGCTACCAAGGAAGTTGATAAATTGTAGTTTCAAAGTAAGGTTTATAAACTATACAAAAAAAAAAAATAACATGATCATGAACATTATTGCCAAATCCTTAATGCTTAATGCCGATCAAAAATTATCAATACATAGTATAAAACAAAGTCGCTTTCGCTGTATGTCCGTATGTATGCTTAGATCTTTAAAACTACGCAACGGATTTTGATGCGGTTTTTTTTAATAGATAGAGTGATTCTTAAGGAAGGTTTATATCATGCATATTGCACCCGTGCGAAACCGGGGCGGGTCGCTAGTATTTAATAAGTATAGGGGATAATGCCGATTAACGGCTATGGCACTATTTATTTTTGCCTGATGCATTTGCATGATTTCTGATTTTTATTTTTTGATCCTTGATTGACTTCTATTATCCTATCGTACTTTCTATAAAATCTTATTAACCTAGTTCTATTAATCTAAGCAGAAAGTGGAACAACAGGAGTGGAGGCTCATTACCCCCATCCCTAATTCCCATAAGGCCGGCAGGGCATTTGTAACACCTCTTTTTTTTTAAGGGAAAATCATCGATTGACTGCTGCCGCCTGGGTGAGGCGGAAGGGAGTGTCAGATTCTTACTGACTAAAAACCACCCCGTTCCTTCTCCTGCACGTCGAGCCGAAGCCCCGGTTACCTGTTAGGTTCTCCGCGATTCCGAATCGGCATCAGCCCTGTTGGGCCCAATATGTGGTGGTCTGATGGCTCTTTGAGGCACGCGCGGAACGCGACGCGCCGTACGCTCGGGTCTGTTTCTTGTCGGACGGGGAGCCACCCATGCTCGCCGTCCGCAGACCCGCGCTTACGGTGGCCGGAGATCGTCCCGCGATCCCCGACGCCCGGTGTGTCCTTCGCGATGGCTGATTTGCGAGGACGCAGCGCTTCGCTGCCTCACGCGTCCCGCCTCCTCCTTAGCTAGCATGACTGCTTCGCAAAAAGAGGAGATGGCATCCCAGTCCCCCTCGCTCCGCATCATAGCCTGCACTAGGCCCAGACGCTATAGGTCGCCATCGCCGATCACTACCCTGAGCGCACGGAGGTGCTCAGCCCACGCAGGGCATTCCGCTACAGTGTAGTCCACCGTGTCCTCAGGGCGACCCTCGCAATGATGACACCCGGGCGTTTCCTCCCGCCCCATCAGACACAGGTACCTCCCGAAACTTCCATGTCCGGTGAGGACCTGCGTCAGGCGGTAGGTGAGGACGCCGTAGCGTCTCTCAAGCCACTCCTCAAATAGCCCCATTTACCGCTGCAATGGCAGCGAGCCCAACGGAATGAGGGCTACCATTTTCTTGCTCACCAGATGTCGCTAATGTAATGTGAGGTCTGTTTGTCTGGTGAGTAAACCACGGCAACATCAAGCTGCTCTTATGTTTCTTTTCTTCAAAATATAAAAAGGTGTGGTGTTATGTTTAATAAATGCAAAAAAAAAATTATTTGTAGGTACGAACAAAAAGTCAAGGAATTTATACCCAATATTGGGTATAAGTTCCTTGCAAAAAGTATAAAAACCGGTTCCACCGCTTACTTAACTATTTGTACATAAGTAGGTCATTTACATAAGTAATTGCCTGCCTACCTAATTATACTCTGATGCGTGATGTTTAGCCTCTCTGCGTCGCTTAGTACTTGTTTGTTGTTATTTAAATGAGTTGATATTGTCAACTCACCCCCACCACGATAAAATCTAGATATCGTCCATGACGGAAATTAGAGGTGGTAGTACGCATTAGTCTAAACAAGTGTAAGTTCGCAAGATGCTCACGAACTGCACATTCGCCGAATATGTGGAAGTGGATGGAAAATCGAGTATTATATTTGTTATGTCATTCTAAGAGGCGATGTTTAAAATAAATACAACTCACGATTAATTAATAAATTTATATTTTGTATAAATGCTTAAACATACTTATACTTTTTACATATTTACATGTTTTTAACCATATTCCTTAACATTTATTTACATTAAGCAGTCTTTTTGAGTGTCTAACTCTAATTATAATAGCCTGTGTTTACAAGTTTGTGTCACTAGCCACAATCGCATTAACACAGCCCAAAGGGAACCTATAATAAATGACTCATTTATTCACAAAACAATTATTACTCTTAAAATGGGCAATTCACACCAGGATGTAAAAACGTACAATTATCACCTTGTCTACACGATCCTTTTCGCTGGAAATATATGCAAACCGCTTTGCGGCTACCACGTGCACCACCTCTACCTCGTTGAGGACCCTCCCAGTTTCCAGGGTTTTTATTACCTCGCCAATGGCCGCCAGCGCCACGGCCTCGCATGGCTCCTCGGAAATTTGCCATACCAGGAAAGCCGTCTGGTCCGGAGGGTGGAGGTCCTTGTGGACCCGACATATTGAAGTCCATCGGAAACATATTTTGCTGCATATTAAACCCTTCTGGTGGACCAGGAAACATTGGATTTGGTCCTCCAAACATTTCTGGACCCATCATCATATTATCGGGAGGCATCATCATACCCGGAGGCATATTACCAGGTGGAATAGCGCCAGGTGGCATGGGGCCCGGCATACCATTAGCCATTATGTGGGGTGGGACTCCAGCTGGCCATTCAGTAGGAACTATGTTACCTCCTTGAAAGCCAGGCACACCCGGAAATTGTGGATTTGGAAAACCATTAGGGAACTGATTCATGCTTGGTGGGAACATGTTAGGAACATTCATGTTAGCTGATGCCGGTGGTGCATTACCTTTAGGTTCTGGCCAAGGCATATTTCTAAAATCGCTTATATTATCTTGATTGCCTGTTACATCATCTAATGGTATAATTGTAGGTTCCGTGTAGGGATGTGTTTCCGGATCTGGTTCCAGCGCAGAATCAGGTATCATAGATTTAGAGAAATAAAGAGGCTGCAATGTACCTTTTTGACGTATTGCTTGAATTTCTTTTTCTTTACTGTTTTTGCCATGTTCTACTTGTACTTGTCCTTCGACCTGAATTGGTCGTGGGGGCCTCCAAGTAGTTTTTTCTTCCATGACGTCATCATTACTGAGATTTCTTCCTTTCTGGAAAGCGTCTCGTTCATGAATTCTTTCTAAATATTTCATGTCAGTAAACGTCTTCGTAACATTGACTCGTTCAGTTTCGTCAAGTTCGAAGTATTGAATTTCTTCAAGTTCAGAATCTGGTTTCCATTTTATACTTTTTTTAGGACCCTTCCTTTTGTGATAGCAGAGGACTCCCTTGAGTCCATTGATCGTTAAAGTATGTGGTTCTGATGTGTCCATTTCCTCTTCATTTTCCTTTTTATCGACATTTTCATCCACGTTTTCAGTATCTGTTTTCTCTACCTTTTCTTTATTTTCGTCCGTCTCAAGTGTATCTTGATAAAATCTTGGCGGCACAGACTTACTTTCACTACTTGGACTGCTCAAACTAGTTGGTGTGTGCGGAGGTGAAGTATCGGTTCCAGAATTACCATCTTTAGAGCCGCTTGTTCGTCGTTTTCTTTTCTTAGGATCTCTTTTATTTGTAGCTGAAGCATTTAATGCATCCATGAACATGTCACTCTCCAACAACATAACAGCTGAAACAAAAAAGATACAAATTAGAACTGTAGTCCATAACATATATAAAAAGTAGGTAGGTACACGTAAATCTAAAATGTATAATAACGGGTTCTCAGCAGTATAATTAAGTTTCAATTGAAATCGCATGGATTGTAAGAATCGGTTTATAAAATAACAAATGACGAAGGTACTAAGTACCAATTTAAAATTGACTTAACTATCCAAAAGAAACAGAGTAATTGATCGTTCTAATTACAAACTACAAGCTATAGGTACGTCAATTGGTTAGCTATACTGTTTAACTCGATACCTAATTAGTACATTTTCTCCATCTTTACACAATATTCATAGTCTATTTTTACACCGAGTAAGTACCTAATAGTAATTGAATAGAAAGTATCAACTTCACTATTATTTATATCTACTAAGTAACTACTAAGTCTTATTCATATTCCTCTGCACCAGATACGTAATGCAAATTCGTTTACTATAAACTTTTAGATAATCGTCGTACGGTGCGTTTATTTTATTGAGGTCAATAGTAAATATTACGCAACGCACACAAATAGTACGGCTGACGCAGTGGAAGCAATTGATGCCCTCGCTCCCCACATCATGTTGCCGTTGTCTCAATCCGGCGGGGAACTAACAAATAATTTAATTGCGGCGTGTAGCTCCATCCTAATCGTCTATAAGAGTAACAAACATAATCGCAGATATTAAACTGAAATATTATTGTTCCGACCAATGAAGAGAGAATGAGTACGGGTCGGTTACTTATTTATAATATAAAATTTACTACATCATTATTTACGCTGGGTGCAGTGGCTGGGCGACAGGTTGCTGTGCAAGGTGTCACGGGTTCGTTCCCGCGCGGAATGAAATTATTTGTGAGCCACAAATAGTTTACTTAATCTGGATGTATGTATTTGTAAACGCACCCTCGAGCTACCGAAAGAGAAGATCTATACCTTTTACTTTTGGTCTGAGTTTCTCGTTTTTTCTTTTGGAGATATTAAGTTTCCAATCACGTTAATAATAAGCCTCCTTATCTTAGTTGCAAGAATGTGGAATAAGATATGTAGTCAACGTAAGTTTCGTAGGATTTATGCAGATATCTGAGGCCATGTCCAGCAGTAGACAACACAGGTTGATGAAACTTTATGATTTTCATATATTAGGTACAGTAGGGTTCTACTGTCCGTACCTAGGTGTTGTAAGTACTAAGTACTGTCAACATCCTGATAGTTTTTTACTAATTTACTGTTACCATTTGTTGTTGCTACATGATGTAAGAACCAACATATACATACATATACCAATAAAGGTAGGTACTTGCAATGCTGCTACTACTACTTAGACGGAGACTACGTTACGATGCTTTCGTACCCTTAGTTCCGTAACAAGCGCGATATAAGTGATATCACTTATATGGCGCTTGTTATGATAAACATATGTTTATCATCCGATTTGTGACCTTATCCGATATGATTAAAACTTTTAAGTTTCCGACTATTTTAAGTTGGAAACTTATCACAGGTAGATACAGAGTGGAAATAACGGCAAATAACAGGTTATATTATCAAACTTGTTCTTTACTCTACAGTCTACACGTATTATGTTAACTTTACTTTCGTTATCATAAATATTATAGATTTCAATGAATAGTATAATAGTATTATTGTAATATAGTAATAGTATCATAGCAGTTTACTAAACGACACGAAAGCTCAGTTGGAAAGGGCATAAGAGGTGTCGCGGTTTCGAGTCTGCGCGTGTCATTGTTTTTTCGAAGCTTTTTCAATCATTTCACTTGATTTTATTAGCAAAGTACCTATTATCCTTCGCAGACCGGTTAGGGAATTTAAAGGCAGTGCGAATAAGCTGCTCGACACATGCGATTTAAAAATTACAAATACAATACTTTCCTGAATTCTACTGTCAAAGTGGAAAATAATTTAAGCTAAATCATGTCTGTACTACAGCTTATTCGAGACCGCCTAAAACAGCTTGGTAATTAGGTAAACGAGTCGAAGTGCTTTTATTTTAATTATTATTGGTTATTGTTCCTACTTATTATGAATGAAAATGACAAAAATTAAATTGCATGCAGCATAGATAGGTGCCTAAGCAACCAAGGTCGGGCGATTGACGCAGTGGCGCGGCGGTGATATTGGCAATCGAGCGCGCATGCGGACCGGGTTCGATTCAGGCAAGAATGATTATTGTACTATTTTATGATTGATCAAAAAGATCGGTTGCAATTGTGTCAATAAAATAGCAATAATAAATAATATACAAAATAATTGAAATAATAAATAACGTCATCAAAGATTAAATCTTTATAATGTCGTTATGATGCAAATATGGTAATTTTTCAAATAGCTTACAATGCATAACTTTACTATAATTATCTATGTAGTAAGTAAGTACGTATGCACACTAAGTATTACTCGTAGTTTTCCCGTATTTTAAGTATTAGTACTATGCCTGCGAGAGAACCATGAGGCACAATGAATGTTGTAGGGAAAGAGCTAAATTAATAAAAAAAAATACTTTCATCGACAAGCAACGCACAGCCTAAACCACAACAGAAAAAAAATCATTTACATAACAGGTACGAGTTGCATAACGAAATCGAGAAAGTAAGAGCTGAAAGGTGTTATTTGTGAAAGATCTAAGCTTGCAATCATCATTCTCTAACGAAGTTGTGGACCACAGCTTGTGGTTACTGTTCTCGCGTGGAACAATTCAATGTGTGATCCACAAATTGTCGTTCTGGCTCTGGGTGTGATGTGTATGTGGAATTATATAAACGGACCCACAACACAGGACAAAATTCTAGCGTGTGAAACCACGTTTAAAAACATTTGCACGACGAACGATATTAGTGACGATGTTTATGTTAATTATGTTTACCTATTTAATTTAATATATTATAAATACAATCCAGTTTTATAAAATTGCGTGCGATTATCGCAGACGCGCGGTTGGCCCAGTGGCTGCCAACACGTAAGTTAGGTACTAGTTCGATTCCCGCCCGGATCACTTTTTATGTGATACCTACACAAATTGACAATTACGGTTCTGTGTGCATGTGATGTGTAATTATGAATTTGTATGTGTTATAAACGCACTCACGACACGAGAAAATCCTGAAGTGGAACTACGTTTATAACTTCTGATATGTATGCTTGATGTTTACTTTTATGCAAGTACAGGATGGTAACGTACAAATTGTTAATCGCGTGAAAATATTTAATTGTTTCAGCCTAAAGAGCGAGTTTACTAGCGTGCAAACACCGGTGTCAATGTGCATAGCGAACAGCTGGGATACGCAACTTCGCTGTGCCACAACATGTGCGACTATATATTTTTGTTTAATATGCTATATGTAATAATTTAGGCTTAACAAATATGTAAGTTAATTCTTGGTTATCTCGTTACTCATATGTTGGTATGACTACTAAACTTTAGAAGCCAAGTACGTTAGGTATATTATTATCGTCAACAAACATCTCGCCTGTTATCTCCTGAAGGGATAAGCAAAGGTTTACATTTAAGTAGAACCATCCACTTACGAGATACCTATTCTTACATTATTTGTTAGACCTTTTATCGGGTCATGTACCTAATGAAATAATTTGTAAAACCTGTAGATACTCATTAAAATTAATGTAGGTACCTAATACATATTATACAGGTAAGTTGATAAATAGGAGGTAAAATATGTCAATAAACAAGTCCTGAAGGGAGTTGTGCATTCATATTATTGACAATAATGTTTATATTGTAATAATTGTACACTCCCATACCATTATAATTTGGTACTAATCATCAAAAATGTTCAACGTTAGGTAATCAGACCAGATATGTTATTTATGCTGAATCTCTATAGTAGTAGATTTATCAGAGCATGTATTAGAGTACAGCTTCAATCCGCATGTTATCGTAAGATATCGATGAATGAGTACAAAATTCTAAGGGAATAACAATTTGTAGTAGGTAATTGAATGGTTTCAATTCGCTATTCATTTTTTAAATGAAGGTACCTACCTAATCAGAAGCGTAATTAGATACCTATTATATGAACGAAAAATATCTTTTCGTTTGTTTAATTTTGCTTTAGCTACATAGGTACTAACACGAAATTATTATGAACATTACAACTTGAAATGAATTGTTCCAGTTTTGTACAAGTTTCCATTGAAAACCTTGACAAGAATGCATCAAATGCCGAAGTAGTTAAGTATAAGGCATGTAGTACATATTTTATCTAATGATTTTGTTATGCAATTCGGACTGATAGTAGCTATTTACTAGTACTATTTATTTAACTAGTAATTTGTCACTGTGCAGTACAGATTTTAAAATAATATTATTAGGATTACGTGCCTACTTACCTATGATATGGTGTTTCTAATGTTTCCAGTTTTAGGTACCTAACTAAATAAATGTTTTAGTAATAGTGGGTCCCACAAGTAAATATATGGGACACCATAAGGAAAAGAGTAGGTTTGAACGTTCTGCCTTTGAAAATGTTTTTAACTTACGATTATGTATGGGTTAAAATACTACGTTATAATACGGTAGGTGCTTACTAAGAACGTCTATTTATCTACAAGTTCGCGTCCGCTATGATATCGTTGGTAAGAATCTGTACAATTTACTATTATTCGCGCTGTTCACCGCGAGAAGCTATACCTACTACAATAAGACATCAATAAAATTGCTATATTGTATTTGTAACCTAACCCTAGTTTCGATTGATAGGTACCTAGTTATTTTTGTTGATAGCTGTAATTTATACGTGGTTTGAACTACACTGGGTAGAGGTATATTTCCCCAAATTTTATTGGAATCCTTATGATTTGATACTTGAATTCTTGACATACATTTCCCTAGCACTTCGAATCTCAAAAATTACCACTGCTAGACAGCAGGTGTCAACATAAAAGCGATATCTAAGTACCCCCTACATCGTTTTTAAATAGTACTTTTTTAGCATACATAGGTAGTGCGTCAGTACTTATTCAGAAGTAGGCAGGTACCTGCACGAGGTAGGTAATTATAATTATTTGAGAAATTATGCCACAACGCAATATTTGGGAGAATATAGACACGTAACGTAGCACGTAAGGTACCTACCTACTTATTTCAGTGTTATGGTTATTTAAAGACTCATATTGAGGTAGGTAGGTGTAGAACTGTAAGCTGTAGCCTTTATCGTACCTACACAATATATTTTAGTATATTCTTTGTCTATTGATTGCCGATAAGTACCTTAGCAGTTCTCCCACCTAAAAGTTTGTTGAATTCTGCGGTATTGAGGATTTGACGAACAGCAGGCTCGCTGGCGGCTGCAGACTGCTGTTTGAATCTTTCAGTAGATATTTTGCCGTTGTTGCAGATTGATAACATAAAGCTTAGTTAAGAAAAGGTACAAGAAAAAACAAATAGTAAGTGCCTAACTAAAGATAATATTGCCACATCTACGACTTGTACCATGTATCAATCAGAAATAAAATCTACCGATTATAAGAAATGGAAAAAAAACAGTACCTATGTTATAAGTTATAACGTTGTACAGTCGAGGCCTTTATTGACTTCAACCGGCAACATCCTAAAACCATTGACATACAAGTAAGCATTGTTTGCTGTTGGTATGCAACTATTTTTTCTCCTTAGGGTTTTATATGATACAATTCTCTAACATCTTTTGTACTCTGACGATAACTTGTCGATAAGTAAATGTAAATGTTGAATGCATTAACTAACTGGTCTGTTTAACTAACGCAACTTTTTCTAAGCCCATTTATATCGTATTTGTTACTGGTAATAAAATGTCCAGCTGAATGTTCAGCTTTTGTATAATCAATTTGATGGTAGTCGTTCTATAGTATTACTGGTGGTAACTCGCATGTAGAAACATTACGTCTTTTTCCGATAATCGCTGAAGAATCTTGGAGCACCAGTTGTTCATCAGCTGCGTCGAGTCCAATGTAGTATCCAATTTACGTGCGCTGGTACTTTCACCTCACGATTAACTAAACAGATTTAGGTTATTAAACTTGAACTAAGCAGTAAACGGAAAGAGTCGATATTGATTTCAATATTTATTTGAAAAAAATACTTTACAGGTGGTAAAAACACTTTAGAACCCGTTAAGTTATACATTTTAGACTTACCACTGAAGATTATGCGACCTAAATATTTGAAAACACTTGGTGACACTATTGGAAGGGCTTGGGCTTGCCACCACCAATGTAAATCTGGAAGAAAACAAATCATTAAAAATATTTGAAATATAATGAATACATTAAGATACTTACGTTTAGGCTTAGGAGGAATTAGTTTGATAGACCCTGGTTTTTCAATAGGCTCTATGGTTTTTGATTTTTTTTCTGGAGGTGACTCATTGTGAACTGGAGATGGTCTCTTTGGTATTGATACGGTAGGCGGCAAAACTGGCGTAGATTTCTTTGTTAATACTGCTGCGCGAGATGGTGGCGGCTTGACTTCCTCTTCTAATCCATGTTTTCTAAACTTAGAGTTGAATGTTTTCACAGTTTTCGGCTTAGGTTCATCTGGTTTTCTCACTTCTATGGATATGGAAGGTTTTTCTTTTTTGGCATCACTTAATTTAGGTATTTTACCTAGTTTGTGAACAGACGGCGTTTTATCATCTTGTTTATCAGATGACTTGCTATGAGAGTTGTCTTTATTTTTCTCACTTTTATCATCTTTTCCTTTATCTTTACTTTTGTCAGTAGACGATCGAGAACTACGTTCATCTTTAGATTTGCTACTGGAAGACGACGACTTATCGCTCGATTTTTTGCTGCTTTCACTTTTTGATCTAGAACTATTATGAGAGGAATGTCTATCTTTATCCCTTGATCTATCTTTATTACTACTACTACTATGTCGGCTAGAACTAGATTTATGGCTTTTATGTTTATCACTTGAATGTGATCTACTCGAATGTTTAGAAGAGCTGCTCGATTTAGAAACTGTACTACTACTTTTGTCATCAGATCTATCCTTATTTCTTTTTTTATCTTTGGACTTTTCGGAATCTGACGTTACGTCTGAAGTTTTACTTTCAGTGTCGTCATCAACTTGCGATATGACTTGCTTTCCATCTTTTAAACTAATCTTTAATACTGGTAATGCCTCAGGCTCTTCGTCTACTTCACTTTTAATCACATGGTTTACATTTTTATTAGTATCAACATCATTATAATTATTTTCTGATTGGATTTCTTCTTTTATGGCTTTAATGTCATTATTTGCGTCATTAGTTCTCTCTAAACTTGCTTCTGCATTAGGTAAGCCATCGGTGTCATTTTGCGCTTCCGATATTATATTAGGAATTTCCGAAAGTTTAACTGGAACAACTTGTTCGCCTTTTACGGTTTTTAGCCATTGTTCTACCAATTTTGATGCCAAGGCTCTGATAGCTGTAATAAAATTTAAAAAAAAATGCTGTTTTAATATGGCACCGATTTTTTTAAAGATACACAAAAAAGAAATAACATGACTGTCAAACTTGTTGTACGGTTATGAAACTAAACGATAGAAAGTTAATTTATGCTTAAATAAATAAAATGAGGTTCTTACCAAAATGATTGTCGTCCTTAGACAGCTCCTTTACAAGTTTCGGGCAGTTATTGGTCTTCAAACGATCGATATCAACAGGACATAATAATAATAACTCCAGCAACTCTTTTACAAGAGGCCAATTTTTAGCAACTATACTTTCTGTAAGCCACATGTGTACTAGAACCCAGCCTCCGGATCCCATAAATAAACCGAGTAAATCCGTTTCTGTACACTTTAATATTTGTATATAAATACATTTAGATACCAATTTCTTCGAAAATTTTGTCATAAGGCTGAAAGGAAAAATGTTCTAATTATTCATCAGCGCCGAACGTTGTCAACATGTTTGTAAACGTGGTTACATGTTATTGCGAAAGTATACATGTGTTATTTCATAATGAGATGCAATTTAGTCAAAATAACTTTAGAGTTCATTAGATTTATATTGGAATATAAAACCGAATAAAACAGATAAACTTACCTAGCGAGCCTCTGTACCTCATCCCTGGATTTGATCCCACCATTTGGTGACAGGAGTACACCCAGGCAATTTAATAATTGAACAGGGTCAATACGTGGCTGTAACAAATAAAATGTAAATTAACATATCTACAACATAATATTAAAGAAAAACATGTGTATCAGCACAAAAAACGTAAAATATACGTAATTTGGAAAACAGACACGAAAAGAAGTATTTTGTCGGCTTATCAAGGTACAAAGGTAAAAAAATAAAAAAAGATTTATATGCTTGGAAGAAATATTCAAGGTTAACTCAAGATAATCGATAAATAAGTAATTATGTTTTGGATACTTGAATATACCTAACCTATATGAAAGAAAAAATGAACACGAGTTTTCAATAAAACGAATAAACGAATACCGTAACAAACCATTTTACAATGGCGACTATTATTCCGTGATAATGTAAAGTAGGTATCTACTCATAAAAAAGGAAAAGGCAAAGATAGTGTAAGTATGAATAAGCGTTTTAAAACATTCCCTTTTAGAAATTGCCTTGAAATTAAATAACGTATTGACTCAATGTAATAAAACTATGCGCAATTTCAACGGATTTATATACGTTCAACTTGATGTTTTACATTCGGTCTTAGTTAATTATTACAATTTCGATTTTGAAATGTTCATTAGCAAGAGTCTAGTAGGTACTGGTTAATTTCTGCTTTTGCTTTTACTCCTACTTATGCCTTCACCAAAGAAATAAACATATTTCATTTGCGTTGAATAACTTTTATTCACAACGGCGGTTATATCGGCGTATACCCCGAAGGAATAAGCCACTTTGGTTTGCCCGAACTCGCGCCCCTCTCAATAATTGCGCTTGCGACCATTCAACCGACGAACATTTTTATATTAATAGTATCCCACGTTTGCAATGATGATGGCAAGTAACCGTAAATTTAAATTTCTACGATACAAATGTTTTTGTTAAGTAATTAATTATTACTTTACGATTACTTTATACTGTTCAAACGGATATTTGGGTTACTCCATTTCGAAATTTCAGTAACAGAACATGATTCTGAATGAGGATTTGGCTTGTGTTTGGTACAGGCTAGTAACGGAATTGTCAATATTAGTTGTATTATCTCCCCATTAGGAAATGACCAGTGATGTGGTAAGGTAAGGCTATAAGGTAATTTGTAATTTTTTAATATTGCCTCGTAAGTCGAATGGTCGCAAATGCGACTGCCAAACAAGAGGTCGCAGGTTTCGGTTTTCGGTTCGGACCATAGTACAATTTGGGTATTTCAACCCTAATTAACAGCCTAGAGACCAAGTTCGAAACTGTATCTGCTGTATGGTATTAGACGCATCTCGTACTGTGTGGGGCTTTAACTGGTGATAATTAGGTGCTACATTGAACATGTGCACGCCTACACCTTCAACGATTAAAAGGTGTGACGTTGCTATTATTACTCGAAAAAAAAAAGTTTATTGACACGATCTCTAAAAAAAAACAACTTTATTTCGAAATGGTAAAATCACTATTGCTAGGCAATAAAACCGATAAAAAGTTTTACATGGTAGATAACCAATATGCCTTGAATATTTCTTATCACAATAAAAATTATCAATTTGTGTAAATGTATCCGGTTATTTTTTTTTTATTGATCCCCAGTGATAGTAACACATTTTTATACCAAATAGGTATTGGTAATTTAGTAGGAGCGCAAGCATTATTTAATAAACATAAGAATGTATTCTATTCGAAAAGTTTCATGAAATAACTAACGACGCAATAAGCAATCGTCACGCACTACGCAATAGTATCTAATTACCTAAAACAACCATTTAGGTACTTTGTTCTGGACGTTTCGCTGATTATGACGTAAATATAATTCTTAGTATTCAATTAGGTAGCATTACACCTAATTTCGTGTAGGTAGTGATTGTTTCGTAGGTACTGTTTTATTCGTGACAAAAAATTCACTTTCTAGTTTTCGTTTTCTAGCTCGTTGCAGTATGCGTAGAAACCAAAAAGTACCACGAGTGTCTATTTTTAGCGCATGAACAAAGAACAAAATGGTCGACTGTTGACTTGTGAACGCTTACGTCATTAGTAGGGTTTTCTTTATTTTCTCAATTATGGCAAGTTGCCGTTACTAATTTATAATATAGTCTTGTCATGTCTAAGGATTGGGAAATAAGAAAATAAAATGTGGCAAATAGGAGGATAAAGAAATTAGCTTTCCTGTTACGAAATACGATGCGTCATTCGTCGAATTGAAATTGCATCAAAACTATAGTATGTAGGTAGGTATTATATTATCAGGACAAAACTTACCATTCTTATACTTTATATTACTTCGACAAATAACACGACAGCCGATAGCACAATGATGTAGAAATGCCACGCCTTAGGTTCCACATAAAACATGGCGTCTTATCATTGTTACAATCTAACAATTTTCTTGCACGTAGGAACACTTATTAACTAGTTATTGTTCGTTTATATGAAATTACACTATTTATCAAACATATATCATATAATAGTCTGTATAATCACGAGTGTGATTAATATTTATCGATTAATATTACTGTGTATTTGGTACTAATATCATTTAGAATCCTACATTATATTATTTTAATGTAATATTTCAATACCATCCTCTTTATAGAAAAGGATTTCTTTAATTTGAAAGAATACTATTATAACACTTTCTAGTGAGTTGGCAGAAATTCCAAGCTATGGCCAGCAAGACGTTCGATCGATCCGAGAGAAACGGCTGGCAAGCGGAGGGATTGCTCGAAGAATGAACAAAACCACGAACAAAATGGCTAAATGGAAACGGAAAAGAAAATAAGGAGGAACTACATTGAACGAATGAAATAAACGGAAACGGAAATCATTCAATTCTGTTTGACTATGGAATGTCTTTGGGTTAGAATTAGAACATTTAATATTTCTTACTTTTTGGAAGAAATTCAAATGATAATTAACGTATAAAATATTAAGGGCACACCGGCACACGGGGATAATTTGGAATTTTGTACAGCATTGATACTAAGCTTAAAAAGTTTGTAGTAATGAAAGCCACAGATAAATAATTACTACATAGTTTTTTTCTCAAACATATCCGTTTACGTACAAATATTAAAAAAATTCTAATATCATTAAGTTTTTTAAATTTAGCTTTTACAATAAAAGTAATATATTTCCATCGAACGTAAAAAATAGAAGAATGGGGTCCTCCCAATACTAAAAATAATAGACCCAACATTACCTAAAATTTGTGAAGCCAAAAACACACATGCGCAATTTGTAGCTTATACAACCCTGTTGAGCTGCGGTCGGCATTAGAAATGAAGGGTATTATTAGGCATAGACACAATTATAGAACAATAGGTTGCGGTCACCGGTGACCGCTTGGTGTTTGACAGTTTAAACCTACATGGAAAAGCTTATGAGATAAATGGACAATATTTATAATACTGAATAAATATTCATTTTTATATATGGAAATCATTGGGGCAGGCCTATGTTCAGCAGTGGACGTCCCGTGGCTGATAGGCTGATGATGATGATCCATTTTTACTATAATTTTATGTATGTGTTACCGGAAATGTATGAGAATCCTGTGAAAATATAATTCCGAAACAAGGTATTTAGGAACTGTAAAAAAAATTGATACCTAATAATGTTCTTTATTTGTAATGTCGACATTTGTCCAGCCCTGTTTAAGATATTTTGCGCATATGATTTGTGTTTTTTGGCTTCACAAATTTTAGCTGTTTGGTATGCTTTTCCTTGTCTTTGGTTTAGATATTCCAAGAAACTATTTTTTTCCTATATAGAGATTTCAACTAAATATGGCAAACTTTCTTATGTTACAGAATATAATATACTCCAAGTTCACAGCATTTTAGTATGCGTTATTTTTTTTATTAAAAATTTCATACAATTGTGTGGGTTCATCGACGCTAGCGCCACTTTGCCAGTTACCAATTCCATTTCATTCACATAGGCTCATAATCCAAGTGAATGAATGTAATAGCGTTTATTGGAGAACTTTGATCAATTGATGTCACTGTCAGAAGCCACCACAAGCATAGCTGCTAGAAAAAAAAAGCATAGCTGCTGCTGTCATAATTTGCTGTCAGGCTGTCACGTCTGACATCAAACGTCATGGTCACGTCACGCACGTCATTACATTAGTTTTAAATTTTAATAAAATTTATCAGAGAATAGTTTACTCTCTACGAGAGGTTAATTTTAATATTGATCATTTTATTTTAGACCTTGTTGTCGAAGTTTAATTTATTGAATATCAAGAATCTGTATTGGATCATAATTTAGTCCATTCTGATCTCTCTTGAGCTTAGGTGATAAGTGTCTGACAATAATCCACAATTTGGCCCAACTTCCAATTTAAAAATGTGGAGTGATTCTTTGCTAATCGTTTTTATTTCTATATGTACTGCATTTTTAGGTGAAGGTGAGTTATCATTAAGAATAATAAATTCTTATCTCCAATTACTGACATGATATACTTATAAAATGTCGTTTTGCAGGTCTAACATGGATCCTTGTTTACCGAACCGAAAAATACCAAAAACTTAAGGTTGAGGTTGAACGTCAAAGCAAAAAACGTGAGTATACGTAGTTTTACTATGCACTAAATACATTACTTAATTTTATTTCCTTATAGGTCATAATAGGTATATATCTATAAATAGTGTTCCTCTAGTCCCTTAGTGTTACTGTAACTGAAATTCTGTTAATTTAGGTGATACATTATATCTATGAATATAACCCAAATCCCAATTACAGTGGAAAAAAGAAAAGAAGCTCACGGGGACTCTTTGGATAAACAACATAAAAAGAAAATTGAGAGAGAAGAAGAACGACTGAAGAATAACAACAGAGATCTTTCTTTAGTCAAAATGAAGTCTATGTTTGCTATTGGTTTTGCATTCACAGCTCTACTCAGCATGTTCAACAGCATGTAAGTGTATATTTTCATGTGAAAAGTTAAGTTACTTGCACATATTCATAAAATAAGTACTTACAAATGTAACTATCAGCAAGAACATAATATAAAGTTTACAATCTAATAATATGAAGCTCTTATATCTAATCTAAGGTTCATTAATTGATCAATGTAATTATATTCAGTATAATGTTTAATCTATTTAAGTCAACACTTTTTGACAAAATATACCATGTGTAGTACTGAATGTCTTTACTGTACAAACTATACATATATAGATACACTTACACAGGTATATATGCCAGAGATAATTCATAACATCACACCTTTTATCCCCGAAGGGGTAGGCAGAGGTGCACATTACTTGCACTTTTCACTATTTATGTTCATGAGTTCCATGTAATAGGGGGTGAGCCTATAGCCATATATCAGGCACATTACCAAACTCCACGCTACTACTGAGACTTTTAATACTAATATCAAGAATCACACTCAACTACTATGCCAATGAGCCAGCAGAGGCCGATAGTTACTTAGTTATAATTAATTTCTTATTCTTATTGCAGATTTGATGGTAGAGTAGTAGCTAAACTTCCATTCTACCCCATCTCATGGATCCAAGGTCTCAGTCACAGAAACCTACCTGGTGATGACTACACAGACTGCTCATTTATCTTCTTATACATATTGTGTACAATGAGCATCAGGTAATTAAATAAATTACAATACTGTACTATTCTTACTAGTATATTTATTGTCTATTCTAAAACAAAAGAAACCATTATGTAGAATCTGTTATAATTTATAAATAAAAATTAAAGGAAACTTCTTTCCTTAACCGCAAATAATATAACAATAAATTTATTTTCAGGCAAAACATTCAAAAGCTCCTTGGATTTGCTCCATCTCGTGCTGCATCAAAACAAGGTGGAGCCCTGTTTGCAGCACCTCCAGCTCAATTTAAGTAAAGCAGTGCATCGCATAGTTAAATCAGTTGTGTGAATTTTATATTTAATAATTTATGTTCTAGGTATCTAGATTTTGTTTGAAATAAATATAATTTAAACAATTCTATTATTTAACTCATTGAGTACCGTCAATATAGACACAATTAAAGAATAATAGGTTGCGGTTTCCGGTGACCGCGCGGTGTTTGACAATTTCATTACGAACTCAAACTTTGACTAATTAATATACATTGAATTCTATACTTCTTTCATCAACTAAGAATCTGTCGAAGCCAAACCTAGTTAGGTCTATGGTTGTGTATTGACTGTCAATGATAAGTTCCGTTACTGCTCTTCCAATACCTGGTGCATGTTGACATCCTGCAAAAATAAAATATATTATTCATTCATCGAAACATTTACCTACTAAGTTCAGCAAGAAAGTTGATGTCCAATGTTGGAATACTTCCAGAAATGTTACAATGACAAAAGGTTGACTGTCAGATAATGCCTACGGCATTAAGTCCGCCAATTTCACTGTATGTGCAATAAAGTTTAATAAATAAAATACTTTCTAAATATAATAATGGCAGAGGTGGTATAGACAATGTAACACCCACTTTTCACTAAGTCCTATGCACCATGCGATAGGGAGTAACTAAAGATGTTTACAGGATATTAATATATGAATAAGTACAAACCTAGTTTACCAAATCCAGTTGCAAGAAATAAGTTATTATGGTATGAATGTGGTCCTATTATTCCACTGTTGTCATATGTGTTGCAGTCATATTTATCAGTACTGAACCTCTCTAACTGCAACAAAATTAATAATTATTAAAAAAATATCACAAAATATTAATCAATGTTTTTATTATAAGCTAAAATACTTGCTAAATATGTTAAAAACATAAAATGCTAGTTTGAGATTTGAAAATATGAATTAAGTCTGCAGGCAGCCATATTTATAATTTTAGTAATTCTAAATAAAACATTTTTTATTAGAAAATACATACTTATTATATATACAATTAATATATATATGTTATTATTTAATGTATAAATGTATGAATTGCACAATAGCTAACCTCATCATTTTTGCATATAGGAAAACGATTTATCAGGGAAGGCTTTATAACATTTTCTAAATATTCCTTTTTCGATACATTTTTTGTGTCATCTGTCATCAGCGGTAAAGTTCCACATAACAAATCATTGCCCAAACCATTTCTCATTAGCCATAGTCCTGTGGTATCCATAACAAGTGGAGTTCTCAATCCTGTTTCTACAGCTTTATCTTGTATAGAATAAATATCACTCGTTCTGAAACAAATACATTAAATTATCAGATTACATGAGTAAAGCAAGTTTTACACATTTCTGGGCAACCTAAGAAAATCACACCTGAACAATGAATAAAAGCAAGAAGCATTTTGCATCATAATATTAGATTTGTTACCATTTAGTATCATTTTTACCTTACCTTTCTTCAATTGGGAGTGGTACACTTAAAATATTTTCTCCTGTTCCTATTTTCGCCATTCTAGCAATGTCGCCAGAATCACTGCCAGCTGCTAAGACACAAATAGCAAACTTAATTGAATGTTCCTCTTGATCCTCAGTTTTATATATAACTCTGTTTAGTCTTTCATATCCTCCTGGGGTTACACCTTCCATGAGCACATCCTTTTGTTTTTCTAGTTCAAAACCGACCACTTCACCATTCACATAATTGGCTCCCAATTCCCTGGATTTTGTAACCAATGATCTCAGTAATGCCCAGGAATCAAATGTTCCTTCAGCCTCTGTTGCCATGCATCCTGGAAGGTGAATAATAATGAAATTATGCACTTTATATTTCTTTAGTTAGTATCAGCATTTATCTATATTGAAATAAATTGTGTATTTTTTACCTAATTTGACATCATCCGTATTTATCCATGGATACTTTTCCTTTATTTCAGAAGGTGTTAGAAGAATGTTCTTTATACCAAGTTCATTCAACATTGTAACATTTTGCTCCATTTTCTGTGCATATTCTTCACTTGCTAGTGTTAGGGCACCCGTAGGGGTGTATTGAATATCCATATGATGTCCTAAGTGAACATGTATATTCCTCAAAAATTCGACTGAGTATTTAGCGAGTTCAATATTTTCTGGCAGAGAAAAATGTTGGGTTAATGTACCCAAGGATATACTATTTTGTGCATTTGTATACTGAAATTATAAAAACCATAATAATTTACAATATTACTACAATTTAAAGTAATTCAGTATATATTATTTAACTTACTGAAAAGTCCTTTTCAAGGACTACTACAGATAAACCATCAGCAGCTCTCTTTTTTAACCAGTAAGCAATGGCAGATCCTATGAAACCCCCACCTATAATAACTATATCGGTATGCTCTGGATATAAAATAGAATTGTCTTTTGAACCAAAATAGGATGGAATATCTTTTGCTATTATATTCAAAGTCTTTTCGACAGGATTTTTGGCATAGTAGCGGATACCGGTATTGTTTTTGTTACGCAAAACTGTTCTACAAAACTGAGAAATCATTTTATATTTTTCAATATTATTTGAAGAGATTGATAGTCATGCTTATTCAGCAAAAGTAACTAAATATTACTGGTGGAACCAATTTTAATAAAGAATTGAATTTGCCAGGCTCTCACATTACAATTTACAATCAATCAATCAAGTCAACTGTCAAAAGTCTATCAATTGACAGTAGCGGTAAGCGATAGTGACACTTGATAGATAAGTGACAGTTGATCATTTTGGCTGAAAGATTAAGGATTGCCATTCATCACGGCAATGCAACTGATTGGTAATGTAGCCAGTAGCCAGCCTTTTGGGCACCCCACATCGAGCAATAATTCTCATGGAATAACGATGAGGAGTGTTTTAATGTTTCATTCACACAATCGTAATTAATAGTACTTGCTTAAAATTTATTAATCTATGAATTGCAAAACCATAGACAATAATTACATTAAATAGGTCTTAATTGAACAGTGTCCATTGCCCCTTTACTTTACTATGAAATACTGTCAAAAATAAGATAGTGAACGAGAAGTACGAGAACGAAAGAAAGAAAAAGCAGAAGAAAACAAAAGTTGCTGGATATACATTGCACGTGTTAGCTCACTGAATAATAACATTGATATCACTCGGTGTTAAAAATGCACTTATAAATTAGGTTATTACTTTAGTTGTATAATTTGAGTTAACATGATGTGATAAACAAACTGCGGAGGTAATGCGTATTAATGTGTAACATTTCGTGTGTTTTTGTACAAGACTTTTAATTCATGTAAGTTAAAGTTATTCTATGTATCTAATTTACTTTAAAATTAAAAGATAAACTCCTCATTTAAATAAAAATATTGTAATATATTTGTATTGCAACTTTTTAACCGTTTATCAGAGTTATTCTGTTTGTTATCATTGCCTTCATGGTATTTTTTTATTTACCAATTTCATTTGTAAGAAATGGGCCTAATCAATGGTTGGATTACAATTTAAGCTTGTGGTTACTAATTTTAATCTTTTTAAATCTTTTAAGGTACAAACGCTAAAAATGGATTCAAAATACTCTTCAATGGGTATAGAAAATGGAGCAAAAACAAATGGAGTCAAAAGAAAAAATGGAGTTGAACACATAAAAGTGAAGAAGATAAAGTTAGCAAATGAAGGAACTGTAGGTCATAATATTAAAGTTGAAACAAATGGACATAACAATAACAATGTGCATGAAAATAAGATTGTAAATGAAAAACCACAAGACTTGCAAGAAGCACGGAGACAACTGCCTGTGTATATGGTTAGAAATAGGTATGTAATGGTATTTAATGCTTTCACTGCCGACAGAAAACTATTGAAGGCAAATTCACCACTCTCATGGCCCATACATTGTCCCTCATGGGGTTCAATGGATCGAACTGTCAAACACCGCGAGGACACCGGTGACCGCAACCTATTGTTCTTTAATTGTGTCGATAATGACGGTACTCAACAAGTTAAAACTGTAATTCATTGAATGCTCGTTTATAATCTTTTTGGTGCCTGAATTGAAATCTGTTGAGGCCTACCATGTATTGTGTCTTGTGGTATTTTAAACCAATCCTGATTTTATGCAACAAGTACTTATGTTTGTCTTACTTATCAACATTGAACTCCTCAAGAGATTTACCCTTTAAAATTAAGAATGTGTTTTTAAAATGACATGTATGATAGATGTATTCTTATCACAAAATTATGTGTTCCAGGTTGCTTGAAGAGATAAAGAAACATGACACAATGATATTGATTGGTGAGACAGGCAGTGGTAAAACAACACAGATCCCGCAGTTGATACATGAGCAGCGCCTTGAAGGAGCCGGGGCTATAGCAGTGACCCAGCCTCGTAGGGTGGCTGCAATCACTATAGCTCTTAGAGTTGCAGCAGAAATGAATACTGAGATAGGATCCATTGTTGGGTGAGTTTTACTAACACCCTAATCTGATATATCTAAGATGGGCAGAAGAATCTTAACAATTGCAAAGTTGTAACCTTTTAAAAAAGGTTTTTTCTAGGCAAAATTAGCAAATTATTTTCAGACTGATAATATTCTATTTACTATTTAAACTGTCAAACACCAAGCGGTCACCGGTGACCGCAACCTATTGTTCTATAATTGTGTCTATAACGACGGTACTCGACGAGTTAAAACTGAGTTCATACATATTTTACATCTCATGTGTTAATTATTCTTAAATATTTTATATAAATATTTCAGGTATTCAGTAAGATTTGAAGATGTGACTAGTCCAAGAACTAAAGTGAAGTATATGACAGATGGTATGTTGCTTAGAGAAGCGATATTGGACCCCTTGTTGAAGAAGTACTCCATAGTTGTTCTGGATGAAGCCCACGAGCGCACAGTGAGCACTGATGTGTTATTTGGTATTGTAAAACTAGCACAAAAGGAGAGAAGCGAAAAGAAATTAAATCCCCTAAAGGTGTGTATTTCTCTATAGTATAGTAAAGTATAGTTTATTCTCTACAAAGTAGAAAAAGATTTTCTTTTTTTTACTTTGTAGATTATAATTTCTATAATGTCTTTTTCTTCTCTGTGGACTAATTATTAGTAATGGTCGACCGAAACTGGTTTTCCGACCGAAACCGAAATCGAAACAATTGTTCGGCCGTGGCTTCAGTTTCGGCTGAAACCGAAACCGAAACTCGCTTGGTCAAGTATAAAATTCCTTAAAATACTGAAATTTGATGCATTTTAACTATTATTATTACTATTTTGCATGAATTAACACACAGACATAAAACTTACATGTGATCAGTTCATTCAAGACATAACCTTTAAAGGATACACGCACCGACTAAGTTTCGTTGCTACTGAGCTATCCTAATAGCGCACAACAATACTCGAACAGTTCCGACAGACTCCGTCAAAGCGTTGCCACGAAGTTAAGCGGGCGTGAACGTGTGTGAACTTGCCACATAAGTTTCGGATTCGGTAAAATTTTCGGCCGATTTTGGCCGAATCCAAAATTGCCGCCGAAACTTGATTTTTGGTTGAAACGAGGCCAATATCGAAAATGAACTGAATTTTCGGTCTGACACTTATTATTAGTCACTACAGATAATTCAGCTATGTGTCAGAGAATAGATATTTCCTTAGTTTTTAATGAATCTTATTTCTTTTTTCAGGTAATTGTAATGTCTGCAACAATGGATGTTGATTCTTTTAAGAAGTACTTCAACAACTGTCCAGTAATATATTTAGAAGGTAGAACATACCCAGTCACCATTTATCACTCAAAAATGAAGCAAGAAGACTATCAGTATGCTGCTGTTTGTACCATATTCCAACTTCATGCCACTGCACCTGCAAAGTAAGTTTAAAAAAGAAATTCTGTTGTTAAATTAATTGAAAATAAAGTTTGATAGATATTATACAACAAATTCTGTTGTTTCTAATTTGTCAATTTGTTTTCCAGCCACGATTTTCTTGTCTTTCTAACGGGACAAGAAGAAATTGAAACAGTAATGTACAATATCAAGCAAATAGCTAAGGTAATTTTTTATTGCTTGTCACAATTATTGTTTGTTAAACATATTTGTTAATACAATTATGTGAATAATATTTGCAGTTTAAATATCAATGTATTTGCTTTTATGTTAGATCGAAAATTCCAGGAAGCGACAGGTCCACCTATCAGGGTATGCCCACTGTACGCGGGGCTCCCGCCGGCCAAACAGCTGCAGGTGTGGCGGGACGCGCCGCCCGGGACCAGGAAGATCATACTGGCTACCAACATAGCGGAGGCATCGGTTACCATACCACGCATCCAGTGCGTTATCGACACTGGAGTTGTGAAAGAAAGGTGTGTATGGCAGTAGTATGTTTTATTAGATATTATGTACAAAGTTAGCGTTTTTCATGAAATAAGGTAATTTTGTTAAATTCAATGGAAACATAATGCTGAGGTTAAGAAAATGACAATTTTTTTAAACTTGAGCATTGATGAGTTTCGACTAAGGCTTTTGTTTAAAATGGCATAGGTACATACATAACTTCACACCTGTCTCCCATGGGGGTAGGCAGATACTATGGAATGCCAATTGCTATGATTCCTACATACCTTTTTCGCTTCATCAACAGTCATTAAGATTTTCATGCATGCTCGTCTGTTAAGGTTACTTTTAATTAGGCCCTTCTTTAATATATCGCCAATCTGGTTACTTTACTGTACAAAATGACTATGCTAGAACGTCAGTGACTTTTAAAGGTCAAAAAACTTATCAGTATTAATTTACTATAATGAATGTATTCAGAACATGGTCGGGGAGTACTGGCGCGGAGCGGTTGTCGGTGCGCGCGACGTCGCAGGCGGCGTGCTGGCAGCGCGCCGGCCGCGCCGGCCGGACACAGGCCGGCGCTGCATACAGACTCTATACTGCCGCTGACTTCAGAGCTAGACCCATGCATCAGACACCGGAGATACTAAGGTAACATATACTTTGTGTACTATAAACCTTTAGATGGTATTTATTGATTGAAATTGTGACTGATGTTAAATAGATAATGAACTAATAAAAAGGAAAAGGTCCACTTATTAGATTTGATTAGTTATGAGATATGTAAATCTCATGTTATTTCAAGGGGACCACAAGACGTTTGCTTCTATAAGAAGCATCATCGAGAGCACATCCATATTATGCTTATCACTACCTTTCCACTTTCATTGCCACCTCAATAGTCACATTTTTTACCAATGATCTAATCAAAACATTGTTGTCGTTTCAGGTGTCCTCTGGCATCAACTATGTTGCTTTTAATAGCGGCGGGAGTTGAACCCAGCACGTTTCCATTGATAGACACGCCACCGCCGGATTCTGTTAAAGCTTCACTAAGCTTACTGAAAGAATTAGGTAACTATTTAGAGGTATATCCGTCGTATAATATTAGTGACGAATTTAATGCAGAATTTTGTAGTTCCTGAAAGTATGTGCAAGTTTGCAACAGTTACATAGCATTCTACTTTAAGTAACTTTGTATGAAAGTTATTACAATTTATTTCGAGAATTCAGGTATCATCCATTCGTACCAGGTACGCATTGAACTAATAAAGCATACGTGTTTATTCCAGGTGCTATCGACAGTGAGGTGAATCCTAAATTGACAGTCCTTGGTAAAAAGATGTCGACTTTCCCAATTGAACCTAAATATTCCAAAGTTTTACTATGTGCGCCAGAGTACAACTGTTTGGATGAGGTATGTATACCAAGACATATTTCAATTAATCATAGATATCGAGCAAAAGGATTTTTATTTTTTATTCAACCATTTTAATGGGTTCCATAGTTCTATGTTAAATACGACTAATCTCGACCCACACTGGGGCTTATATATAACTGTGAGCTGTGTGCGCGGTATATGACGTTCACTTAAACTCCGTTTCACAATAGTTAGAATACAAAAATATCTGTGTTTTCATAATAATTGTATTCGATTCTGTTCCAGGCTCTCAGCTTAATAGCAGTGTTATCAAGTGAAAATGTGTTTCATACACCTATGCACAAGAGGGAGGAAGCTATAAAAGTGAAACAAAAGTTCTTGTCGCCACTGGGAGACCACATCACTTTGTTGAATGTGTTCAAAGCATTTAGTAAAGCTCCTTTGAAAAAGGTTTGTTATTGACTTAGAATGGTTCAATTTACATATTTCTATAGCTTGTGGCGGATTTCAAAACAAATGAATGGTTTTATGGAATCAAAATTTATTTTAATAATGTTTCATTTGTTTTCCAGCAATGGTGTAAAGAAAATTATTTGAATCACAAGAACTTAACGTATGCCTGCGAGGTTCGACAACAGTTGCTTGCGATCTGCTTGAAATTAAATATGACTGTCACCAGCTGTGGACAGGCTTATGACCAGGTACAACTATTTTTAATGTACATAGGCTTTAATATTGCCACTTACTTAAATTCATTCTAGTGATAAAGATAAATAAAGTCAATTGACATACACCACACCTCCACTGGATGCAACCCTCGATTCTGGATATGATAAGAATTGAAAATCACTTGTTAAAAATGATTTAGTAGCTAACTGATTTCGAAATAATTAAATAAATTTCAGGTACTTAAATGTTTGCTATGCGGTTTGTTTACGAACTGCGCGTGGCAGCGCGGCGGCGCGGGCGGGGCGCGCGCGGCGGGGCGCTACGTGACGGCGGCGGGCGCGGCGGCGGCGCTGCACCCCGCGTCGGCGCTGCAGGCGCTGCGCCCGCCGCCGCCCGCGCTGCTCTACACCGAGCTGCTGGTGACGGGCCGCAGCTACATGCTCACGGTGTCGGCCATACAGCCGCAGTGGCTGCAACAAGTCGCGCCCGAGTACGCGCGCCGCTGCCGCGCCAACCGGTGACGACGACTTCGCATTAACATTACGCTAATACTTTGCTCTTTAATTTGCTGCAATGTGATCCTTACGTCGAACTCTATCGCTTTCACCACACAGAGCTGTCTATCGTTGTCAGCAATAAATAATACTATGTGATAAAAATGGTGTATTCTTGATTGATTGAACTATCCATAATTTTATATCGTTGGGACTAGAGTGAGGAGTTTAGTAAGACCCGTAAGTCTAGCATTGGTTTTTGAATAAATTGTTTTTATCTAAGCATAACTTTATCGTTTCGTTAAATGGTACAACAATGCATTTTTATTGATCACATGTTATTGTTCAGAAAGTTACATTTAGCAATACTTTATGTGTGTGATATAAGAATAAGTATAGGTTTAATATTATTTGTTTTAAGATACAAGTTGTTACGTAATACTACACTGCTTTAACCTGCCGATAATTGTTTACTGCCATTTAGTATTGATTTATGTTCTGTGACTAGTTAAACAATAGATAACTTAACTGCCACCATCGCTTATACAGGACTAATCAAAATGTCTGAATATTAAACGTAAAAAACGTTAATTAACAGGCTATTTGTTATGGACCATCCCGTGACTTCTATTTAACTACGAAGTTAGATGCATTTGTAAAATTGACGAAAAGAAGCCATAACTTGGACCTCACATGAAGTCTGAACTTAGACACCAGGAGGCTGTAGGCCCTTATCTATGTATTTTGACGCAGCGATCAAAAAATTAAGCCAAGGGATACATAGGGGACAAATATCTCAAGACATGTCGAGCGAAGCCGGCCGATGTCGCCTGATATATACGGCGACAACGCGCAACTTATGTCCACAGTGACGTTGATGTTGCCAGACATGTCGACCAAAGTCTGGCAACGTCGCACTACTTCTCCCAACGTCGCTGGCAACACGTGTCGCAGGACATCTGTCCTCTAGTATATCCTTGGCTTAATGCTAAAAATAGTACAACACAAGAAACCAGGTCTACATTTCCAAATGATTTATATAACATAAAATTATGATATTTATGTTATTCATAAATATGTAAACAAAATCTAGTTGTAATGCATAATTATTAGGATACCACCTGGTGCTAAATACGAGGTTTATTTTTAAGTTTAAATCTTGATGTTAAATGTTATAAAAGTGTAAATAATTGTAACATACTGAATAAACTTATTTGATTTCAAATTTAGTTTTTTACTTAACTGTAATATAAAACGTTAATATACGCCCTTAAAATAGTCGTTATGATACTACTCAGCTACGCTTACTACGACGTAGCAAGTCAGTGATTTGATGAGCCCATTTATTGTTAAACCACCTCTTGAGTTTCAGTAATAATAGTAATGATAAAATTCCCTTTATTTATTTCCAAATTTGTTATATATGTTTTAAATATTTGTTTATAAAAAACATTTAAAAATATAAAAAAGCAGTAACCAGTAACGGGAGAAATACAATCTAAGCTAATTATAAATATTATCGTAATTGTGTTTTCACACGCACTCATGCGGTAAAATAATAAAATTAAAAAGTTAGAGCAGGGGCGTAGCTAGCGCCGTATCTGCCGTATCAATTATACGGGGCCCCCGGACTACAGGGGCCCCCAACCTGCCTAAGCAAAAATTAATAAAAACTTCCCAACTCTTATTATATTTCAGTAATCAGAAAAGTCAAAATAAACGTTTTGTTTTCACGTAAAGCATGCGTTCAAAGGTTGGCAGAAACTTAAGAAAAATAAAAGTAATTAAGGTCCGCTAATTAGGTCGGAGTTTCCTGAAAAGATTTTTGGTTTTCACATAAATTATAAGTATTTTATGTTAAAAAAAATCTCTTGTAAGTAATGAAATATATTTGAATGACTAAATTTACCCTTCAAGGGCCCCTAAACAATTTTTGATACTATATACGTTATAAAATAAATGAGCGACGAATACTTTACTACTACTTATACGAATACTTTTGATTATGTCACGAATTAAAGTACACTGGATAAATTATAACCTTAGGTACATAATAAAGTTACTTGGTCGGCAAGTTACATTTTGTTTCACCATTTTGTAGATCTCATTTGCATACTAACAGATCAGATTGTTGCATTCAGATTGAAATGAGATCGTAAAGCAGATTACGTTTATGGTCCTCGTTTCATATTCTCGAATGCTGTGTAAAAGTTTCTAATTAAAATAGCTCCTTGCCAAATTTAATTTCCTTCGCGCACTTCTTTCAAATTTATTCTGTAATAAGCAGCAATGGAAGTCGTAAAAAAAGGATCCGAGAGAGAAGTGAGGACATTCCTCTCATTAAAATGATTCCAGCTGGAAGCGGAACAATGTTAATTCGATAATTATGTAAATTTTCTCGAAATAATTCATTAAAATTTATGACATAGAGAGGTGCGTATAAAAGGGATCGAGCGCTTGTCTTAAAGGTTCTTAAAATGTTAGCCATCTTCTCAAAACAGTAGAGAACTGTATCCTACATGGGCTAGGTATTCTGACACATAAATATCTGCCTCTGTCGACAGTATTATGTACCGTGCAGTCCAAACTATGTACCTAATACAAGATGAATCAATAAAAGTGCATCTATCTTTAATATTTATTGATACCTAGTAAGTATAGGTTGTTTCTATAAGTTTGCAGTAAAGGAGTGTGGCGCGCGGCGTAGGAAATTATTCAATATTCTGTTCGGCCGCCTTCATATAAGTTCGCCATTCTAATTTTGCAAGTCAAAATATGACAACCGGATTCACATATGGGAAACAGGGCTTCCACGATTCATACGACGTGTACCAATACTTTTATTTTTATTAAAGCCTATTAGGTACATGACATGTACATGACTTGTAATTTGGATTTCATTTAATGCTAAAAGACGAGGTTGATATTAATACGTGCTTATTAGGTACATGTAGGTCTAGGTACCTACCTATTGACATTTATTTGCAATTTATTATTGTAAATTGTAAAAATCTATACCTACCTACATACCTATAATAAAACTGTACAAGAGTAAACTCTGTACATTGAAATTATAAAAAAAATAGTGTTACTACATAGGTAGACACCGAAGTCAAAACAGTGATTAAAAAATATTTGTCTGTCTGTACGTTCACGCATCACGTAAAAACTACCAGTCCGATTACGATGAAACTTGGTATAATTATACCTTAACTCGTTGAGTACCGTCATTATAGACACAATTATAGAACAATACGTTGCGGTCACCGGTGACCGCTTGGTGTTTGAAAGTTAATATCCTGTGAGCAACACTGGGTACTTTTATCCCGAAAAAGAATAAACACGAAAAAACAAACTTAATTGTGCGGCTAAATCCGTAGATACAGTTACTGGACTAAACACAAATATAAGTTTGTCGAACGCTGCAGCTGTAGAAGCGATGGTTGAAATTAGCTTGAACCGATATTATAAATAGCACAATATGTGAGATTGTGTGTATGTTTGTTACTCAGTCACATCACAACGGCTAAGGGGTTCGGTACGACATTTGGAACAGATGGTCTGGAGTAATATGTAGGTTATTTTTTACCTCCGGTCACGCGGGCGAAGCCGCTGGCAGAAGCTAGTATAACATGAAATTATGTAGAGTTAAAATTATAAGAGCAAGTTATCTCCTCTGTAGTTCCAGTTTCCAGTGTCTGTCTTGGCGATGAAAAATCAACAGTAAGTTTTCTATTTGTTATCATTTTGTTAACAACTTAAAATTCTCTTGAAATTTGTCGGAACTGATATTGGTATTCCAGGTAGCCTGCAGTGCCCTCTATTTGAGAGTAAAACTTTGTAGTCTTTTACGTCTTATAACAACTCATCATAAAACTTTATAAGAAAAATTTATGGTTTGGTATAGTTATGGCTAGTCATTGAAAAAACTTACGTTTGAACGTCAAAAAGTTTTTAGCCTCACTCATTTTACTATCTGGGTCAGGTAGAACCTGTATGATTTTTAAGCACTTAGGTACCTACTATTAAGTTACGATGCTAAAAAATCTCTAACGTCTTCTGCATAAAGTCAAGTATTGCTTGTTTTAAGGTTGAGGTGTAGGTTATGTACCTATATGGGGGAAAACAATGAGTAGGTAGGAGTAACTTGGTCCATATGTACGTATATGTAGCCTCATTTGTAGGTGCAAAGGCTGCGGTCCCATGCCCGCTGTGGCTATAATGGGACTTTGGAATGAATGCCGTCGTCGATAACGTTCTCCCTCGTGTCTGGTTTTTGTGTTTTTAACGCTAATTGCCCAACTTTCTTGTAATAAATTACTTGCATTTGATACGTCATCAATTATGGGTGTACCTAATGAACACGGGAGGCAAAGTAAGTAAAGATAATACTAAAATGTGCAGATTTTAACTCTTGTTTGAGCGTATGATTTTACAAATTTCTCTTAAATATAAAAATGAGATTTTGAATTTTCACCAGCCCATCAACCATTTTGTACTGTTCATCACAATACGTGTTTTTGTGCGTAAAATATAGGGTAGGAAGCATTTACGAGGATGTGAATAAATAACAAACTAATCTTTAACATGTTAGCGGCTCGATTGTTGTTTGTTAGGTGGAGATGATAACAGAATATGAGATGAGTCCATGCTCACGTGCCCGCCTCTATATTGGCAGTCGTGCGTACAAGTAGAAATTGTATAAAAGCTTTGGCGAGCAAATGGAGTACGTATCTATAGATATTTTCACAACAGTTACCTCTCGGAAGGGTCCGGCGTCTCGAGGGGCCGAGTTTGGACCGCGCTACTCCACAAGGATCTCGTTACGTGTATCGTTTCAATATATCTATATTCGTAGGTCCCACTTTGTTGTTACAGTAGGTTCTCATTTTATTCAGAGTTTTTTTTACTTAAAGCCTATCCAACTATCCAACTATTTCTATTTTGGGCTACAACAATGCTTTGCCGACAATTTATAGTACTTATAATAGCTTTGTAAACGCTAAACGTTCAAATAACATTACTCAGGTACCTATTTGTACTGCGAGATTGTATCTTGTTATCGTCTTTATAAGATGCTCTCCAATCAACGAATGTTGCTGAGGCACGTTTTCCACGTTTACGCTAAATTTAAACGGAAAAATAACAGATTTTATTGAATCAGATTCCTGGTATGACAATGTAAATAAAACGGTACAAGAACATGGTACTAGTAAGAAAACATGCATAAAGAGTCAACTACTTAATTAGGTTCCACATTTACTTACTGTTACCGGGTCAGGGTACGGGAATGCGTCAAATATTGCACGATGATAGTAATTTCTGCTCGGTAATTGCTTGAACACCTTGAAAACCAATTTGAATAAGGTAATACAATGTAACTTAGTTAAAAACTATATTTATATTATAACTTTCGTGAGACTTACCTACTAAATAAATTATCATGTTTCTCGGTTTACTCACGTAATCACTTGACGAGGAATGCGACTAGTTTCAAGCCATGGTATAGGCTCATATTCATGGGCAGCGTTGCGCGGCGTCGCAGAAAGATAAGGAATATATCTTATAATTCATTTAGTTAAAAACCGTTACGATTCCGTTTTTTTCATAGTTTTCATGTCTTCCATAAGAAGCATAACTGGCACGCTGACACTTGGCAAAGATATTGTTAACGCTATACAGCACCTCTCTTATTAAATACTTGAAACAAGACATGTGCTTGAACACATTTGTTTATTCATGTAATGCAAACGTCAAATTATTATAATTCAGCTGCAACTACGTACGTCCACCTGGAAAACATGCGGTATGTAGATTAACGAACAGTTCGTGCATTAAAATGCAGATGTAAGTAAATAATAGGGTTTGTTTTTCACCGTGGCTCCGTCAGCAGCAGCTTTAATTCGAGTTTAATTAAATTTCACCCGCTATAAATTACCTTCTTCCGGACAAGTTGCGTTCGCATATGGCGTCATTTGTTTTGTCTGTGGTCTACTTCACCCGGTGTCATCATATTCAATTATATGCAGAAATACTTATTTTATTTGTACCACGTAGTACGTTAGTAGTTTTTTATAATCCGGACTCGAGTTGAAACGTACCTACAGTTTACACAGAACTCCGCCCTCAAATTGTATAATCGCTGCCATTAGGACGGTAGGTACCTCTGTTCAGCTGTTGCGTTTGTATTTAAGCACTCGACTAAAT